TCACATATAAGAAAACTACTTGACATGTAATGGCACAACTTTTTTTTTTCTTTTGAATAGGGTAGAAAATGGTTAGGTCCCCAGGTTTCCCTTCACTTTCTCTTCCCAAGACACACTAGAAACGTGGGAGATCTCCCCAAAAGCGAGAGGATATACCTTTTCGGAAAGTTGGCACCATGACAGGTTTACCCATTGAGAGATTTCTTCTAAGTTCCTGTTCTCATGACTCTTGAAAGCTTGGATTTTTTCATTGCCAGGACTGAGGGTGAATCTCCCCAAGTAGACTGTGATAAAATCTAGCTAAGGTTCTAATACTTCCCCACTTCATACAAAATTAGAGCAAAAAATATTTGTCTTGTATACATGTTAATAGATGAGGACCTGAATGATAGCTGAATAGACAAAAGACCTCCAGGAGCAACAGGATCTGTAACGGCCCGTTCACACTTCTTTAGTTGCGATAATGCACAGCAATGCTATATGCATTGGTACTATACGGTGCAATTCATTTCACATTGCACCCCAATGAACCATGCTGATGGACATGAGCTATGGTGAGCTGGCAGAAATGCTCTGTGTTCCTGTTTTGGTGTGTTAGCCCATTGAAATAAATGGGTTGCCTTAACGAAATTCTCATTAATGCATGTCACTTGTGTGAATGATAGCAGTATTTGAAGCCTGTTAAATGAAAGAAGGCAGCACGAAACATTGAAAGAAACTATAAGCCCCCCCATTAACACCACAACACGTTATTGAACTCTTAACGGTTAGCAGAGTGCTGCTTAAGAGAGCTTATTTCAGTTAGTCGCAAAAAGCATATCAACCCACCAAATACCAAGTGAGCTCCAAAACAGGTATGCTTATAAAGACTTGAGACCAATTTTCTGACTTTCCCGATCTTCAAACTTGTTCGAGATTGTTGATTTTGAACGTGGTGAAGCATAGCACCAGCATAGTAGCCAATCAGCTAGCATTTTCGGAAGGAGGTCTGTGTGTCAGACCCTATATCTCTTAGACCGGTTTATTTTTGGGGAGCTGCAGTGTCCTGAATCTGGACCAATGTATTTTTTCTTGTCTGTATGTTTTTCTATAATATAATGCTGCATAATGCATGCAGTGTCCCTGTGAACAAGTCCTGATGAATTCTTAATGCTTTTTCCAAGGGTTCCCAAGAACACCTGTTCTTTATATAAATGTATGTAAATAAAATGTACATTAAAATGTAAAGTACATTGAGCGTCGTTTATAGCACAGACTAGGAGGAACAGCTTAAACAGCTTAGTAGTTTGTTGTTTTTTTTTTTTTTTTTTTTTTTTTTTTTTGTATTCTAAAGCTACATCAACCTAGTTCATTCAAAATGTGACCTTGTTGCAGGATATAATGAAAACTTGCATGCTCGAGAATAAGCACTAGTGTCCATTCAGGTAGAGGTCTTGATGCTTCTGGAGGCCTTTTGATACTTGCTCAGATGTAATGGTCACTTGATAAAGACAACTGACCATTTTAAGCTGTCTATATACATTTTATAACCTTTCAGACACTTTCAGTAACCAATTTTTTTAAAATTCCATACATTTTTTTTTTTTATTTAGTTATTTTAACAAGAAGTCATACTTTTGTACTCCATAGTTGTTGGTAGACCTCGAGAATCAGAAATGATCATAAATTAGGCATAAAATAGGCAGAATAGCCTAGTTATGGAAATGGTTTGTTTGGGCCAGTTTGAACCAACCCAGCTTAAGTGAATGAAAATATGGACTTCGGCTTTGAGGGCCTGTTCCCACAAAAGCGCAGTGCAGGAAACCCGCATTCCATGTGTGTTTCCTTCACATCTTTCAAAAAGCATTGCATGCACCACAGGTGAGTCTCACAGGAACACAGAGTGTTTCCTGGTGTGAACCGGCCCTAAGATGTTGCCCAAAATTTCAAAACAGGTTTTACCTTTCAGTTTTTATTGAATCTTCAGCATAAACCAGCCAAGATACAATCCATCTATAAGCAGGCTGGTTGATCGACTTCAATACTAGCAGCCTATCAGTACAACTAGCTCCCAGCAGTGATCATTGTGTTATGCCGACATGGGAAGCTCCCTGTCAGCAGAACATAATAGTGCTGTGGGAGGCATCCCCCCATCAACACTGACTGTGTTAATGAGGGATCGAGAATTTTCTTTCTTTCTACCCATAATGCACTTTTCTTTCCTGCAACTATCTATGGACTGCTTAAGTAGACCTGTACTTAGCCTGTTTTTCAAACAGATTCATCAGCACAGTATATTATGACAAAGCAAACATTTTACTTTTTGTTTTAGAATTCTTATTAGAAGCGAAAGAAAACTTCCACATGTGTGACAGGGCCTAGGCACACTCACAGGTGGCTATCAAGAGTTCCGTAAGCATACCTCACCCTCTCTTCTCTGATTATTATGCAGGCCATAGACGGCTCGAAAACCTGCCGTTTTTTCGTCCGATAAACGAAACATCGGTCGTTCGTTATCCGACGTAACCACCAATTATTACGAAAATCGTCCGACCAAGGCATAAAGTTCACCCCTTATAACAGGCAAAACTTCTGTTCCTTCCAGGTCACGGCTCATGCGCATATTTTCTTTCGTAAAAACGATCGTAGGATTTGACTATTGACGCGAAAATCGGACGGTTTCCACAAATTTTCCAACATGACCGATAATCCAAAAGTGGAAAAAACGTGAAAACCGGCCGACGAATTAACCCACTAACAGTGCAAAAATCAGCCGATTAATCTTTTGGACGAAAAATCGGCCGATTTTCGAACCGTCTATGGCCGGCATTAGTTTACATTGATTGGTGGTATCAGGTGGGGAGGGAGGGGGGGGGTCTAGGAACAGAGAGATACAATCCCACAGGGATGCATTGGAAGACAAAGTGGGCCTGGGCAAAAGAGCAGCTATTTTAAGTGCTATCTAATTCTCCACTGACTTGTCTCACAGTGTGAGCGATAAGGCGGCCTGATTCTAGGTCCACTTTAAATAACCTGCTCTAAGTAAATGAAAATAAGCAAACCATTTGCAGTGGCCCTTCAAAAATCTGCTCATTTATCCATTGTGTAATACAATTAGTGATGACTTTACACTAAGCATTTTTAATAGACATGCAATGCAGTGGTAGACAAATTAAAGAGGAAGTCTGGAGCCAGTTGGCCACATACTTCCACAGTAAGCGCAGAAATATGATGATACTTGTCAGCTCTTTGGCCCCTTTACTGCCTGGCTTCTGAAAACTTAGTAAAGGTAAAAAATTCTTTGTAATGTAATCTCAGAAACACTGATCACTAGTTAGGGCAGAAATATTACACAAAACAATGGCAGGCTGAGAAGCTTTTACAAATATATGTTGCGCTCCTAAATACTTCTCAATAAATAATAATTAAATTATTACCATTAAATTAATTCAAATTATGATACAAATAACTAATAAAAGTGTATGAATACCAAAAAAATATTTAAATAGATAGTATCAACTAATCAATCTCCTCCAAATAAATATCAAAATAATTCCACATGAAATACTCCTCTAAAAAATGTTTTACCAAGTGCTCATAAATCATCTATTAGTGACATGATGTACTTACTAATACCCTCAATTTCATTTATATTCATAATATCATTATGAGCACTTGGTAAAAAAATTTTTTAGAGGAGTATTTCATGTGGAATTATTTTGATATTTATTTGGAGGAGATTGATTAGTTGAAACTATCTATTTAAATATTTTTTGGTATTCATACACTTTTATTAGTTATTTGTATCATAATTTGAATTAATTTAATGGTAATAATTTAATTATTATTTATTGAGAAGTATTTAGGAGCGCAACATATATTTGTAGATATTTCCAACACAGTTGTAGTTATGTGTTTCATGTTTGAGATCCTCTAGTAATTATCACACCTGTGGCTAGCAAGTTACTCTGATTCATCTATAGGCTGAGAAGCTTTGTCACTGTTTGTGTGTATCTATGCATCCAGGATCAGACATCTTTCCCTAACCACAGATAAATGGTGGATGTTCAGATACATGTGAACAGCAACGGCTCCTCTCAGCTTGTCATTTCTTTGTACAGGTTGAGGAGCGCAGCTGTTTGTGTATACCTGAGTTCCCAATTGCAAGAATCCTTTGATTCTTGCTGCTGGAATCCGCTGCATCCTCCTAATCGCCTCTGTAAAACAGAGGAGACTTGGAAAATTATAGAGGAAAGACTGGGAGCAGTGTTGGTTGAAATGGGGGGAATGGTGCGCTGATCCAGAAGAATTTGTAGGAGTTGCAAAGCAGAGGTGGATTGATGGGGAGATGTGGCAGATGGGGTGTTGTGGAGAGGAATATGCATGCCACTAGATACTAAAAAGTTTCTAAGGGAGGGTTTCATAGTTTGACAATTTGACCATGGGGTCAGATTGAGCATACAGAGGGGAAAGCTCAGGTTATTATTATTATTCAGGATTTATATAGCGCCAACAGTTTGTGCAGCGCTTTACAAAATGAAAGTAGACATTACAGTTAGAATACAATTTGGGACAAGAGGAAACAGAGGGCCCTGCTTGTTAGAGCTTACAATCTAGAAGATCACCTAAATTGTAGAATGGAAAGGTACAGTTGAAAGTGCATATGGTACTTGTGGAAGCAGATGTAGCCTGGAGCAGTAAACAGTTGACTGGATAAGCCTTCTGCATGTGGATTGTAAGCATTCATTCCCATTTTTCATTTTTACCACCAGAGTTCTTTATAAACAGAGATACATTCAAATAGAGCTGGCAGTATTAGGATCTGTGTGCAGGACACACTTTCTGTCATTGGTATCTCAGAAAGCAGGAGCCAGTCCATTTGAGGTGCATTTCCGTTCTGTCTTCTAGCGGTGAAAGGAGACAGTCCGTTCTTCTGCCCAGAGTTGTGCCATTCCAGGATGGGAGATTTGCAGTGAACATTTTATTGTTTTATATATTTAAATGTTTTTCCTTTTTGTTTTCTAGCTGAAGCTGCAGGATCGTTCTTTGGTGCCCAGAGATGTTGTACACAGAATTGGAATAAAGGTAATATACGGTGCTCCTTGGTGGATTATGTGTGCCATGGAAATCCTTTCTTTACAGAGCATAAGCATCTATCTTTTTATGCATTATCTGGGGGTTGTTTTATGAAACTGGAAATCTGTATTTTCACTGTCCTCCTTGCACATAACCAGGTACATGTCAGCTTCCTATATCCTTGTAAAAGGATGTTTGTTACTATTAGGCCTTCTTCACAGGGCTTCAGCTCATACACTGATTAAGCCATAACATTATGACCACCCACCTAATATTGAGTAGGTCATTTTTTTTACCGCCAAAATAGCCCTAACCCTTTGAGACATGGTCTTTAGTAGATAAAGCATTACGCTGCCTCCGCCGCCTTGCCTTCTCCTTATATTGCATCCTGTGCCATCTCTTTCCAAGGTAAGCAATGCAGACGGCCATCCACATGATGTAAAGAAAACAACATAATTAATAAGCACAGGCCATCTTTTTCCACTCCTTCATGGTCCTGCTCATTACAAGGACTTTTGGCTGTGGATATGGGTCAGCATGGCAACCCTGACTCTGGTCTGCAACTACGCAGCCCCTAACAAATACACTGTGTGTTCTGGCTCCTTTCAGTCAGAACCAGCATTATCTTTTTCAGTAATTTGAGCTACAGTAACTTTTCTTTTGGATTAGGCTACGTGGGCAACCAGTTCTCTGGTTTTCCTTCCTCTGGACCACTTTTAGTATCTCTTGTCCACTGTAGACTTGGGACCATCCCACAAGAGCTGCCATTTTGCAATTGTTCTAGCCCAGTCATAAAGCCATTACAATTTTGTCCCTTGTCAAAGTCAACACATCAAGTTCAGGGACAACAAGTTCACCCACTGCCTAATTTATCCACTTTCATACCTCCTCGTTTCCAATTTGGGAAAGATAGACCTAGATCTAAAGGGGAGTGCTGACTGTCATTTTTACGGCCACCGGGGTATTCATACATCGGCAGCAGCAGTCGTGGGTTTTACACACACTGCAGCCACTAATTTGGTATACTGTACATCTCACAAGCAGACTCTTTCAAACGGAAGCAGTCTAGTGGTTGTACAGTTACTAACCTGCTTCTATGGACCCCTGAAACATTACCCTCCTTCCCTGTACTTATATTAGCTTCACTGGAGTACAGGGCATATCCCTGATCTTTTATTAAAGAGAACCTGTGACTATAAACATGCTATCACATAGGGGGCTTGTGACATAAATATAAGATTTAAGTAGCTGAGATGTGATTGTAGAAATATGACATTGTACATTTAGCTTCATTCCATGTTAATAATAAGATGGGTTCAAGATTCAGTCAGAGACATATGGTCACCAATTATCACCTGAAAGGACAGTGCATCCTCTAGGCTGGAGGTGACACCTAGATGCCAATAAGACTCGTCACCTACGTAGTCCGACTTTGTCGCCTTCTAGAAATCTGAGAAGAGGAACTCTAGACATTTTGGCTTCAGAGGCAGTGGGAGACCAAGAGAGGGCTTCGATGTGTCTAGGAGCTTTGACGTATATCAGCAGATCAAAGGAATATATATTTCATCTCTCATAAAAGCTAAAATATTAGTTGCAGAGCGATGAAAATACTTCCTTCTGATTGGACACATTGTAGGCTACATCTGCAGGTAAAACTGTATTTGTAGCCTATGTAGAATCCCAGAGAAATGTAGAAAACGGTTATATGGCGCCTGATTGCAACAGCTGAACAGTGATTGGTACTGTCGCCAATGAACTGATGCGCTGGTGTCGGAAATTCAATCCCTGACTTGGTGATTCAAACCGTTCCTGGTCCAATCAACTTTGGGCATTTCAGTACCCAGAATGTCCTGTGGGCTGGTACAGGAACACCCTCCAGAGTTGATTGGCCAAGGGCTAATGTCCAGCTTACGTCCATATTTCAATAAATTGAGGACCCTGGGATATGGACGGTGTGATTCGTACGGAGCCGGTTCTATTGACTGGCGGATAGCGGACTTTCTCTTACTTGCTCCAGTCGAGGATAACTCTTGGTAAAAGTTTTAGTTCTGTTTATTCCTTTTATTTTATAGTGAATAGCCAATTGTGTGTCTTTTTGTATTTTCTGTATTACTTGTAACTTTATACTTTGTACATATTTTATGTACTGGCCACTTTCGGGATATCAAATCATAAAATTAATAAGTGACTTCTGGGTACTTAAGCTCGAGCTCATATCTCCGGAGAGATTGTTGTATTGCAGTGTCTTTATACGCTCGGTCAAGTTCATTGCCTATCTGTATGCAATTGCACTGCGTGTTGGCAGATTGCATGCAGATTGTAAAGTAGGATATCTGTGTGTGTGGTGGCCCAGCAGACCAGTCTGCGGCTAAACTGTTGGGTGGTGGCAAGCTACCATTTGAGGTGTGTCTGGGGTGGGGGGTGTGTGGACAGTGGAAGAGTGATTAACACTGGGGTTCTAGCTTGTAGGATAGCTGGAGGAATCCTAGAAGGGTGTGCCAATTGCTAGGCTGCTCCTCAACCCTTATAATGCACCAGATTGTATGTAAGATTCGTATCTGCTCCTGTGTGTGGTCAGCCAGCTGGATTGGAGTCTCCCTCTAGTGGTGGCCAGAGGCAGTGCGGGCTGTGAAAGTGTATCTTATATATATTCAGATTAAGTCCCCTTCATTCCCTCTTACCCCAAGTCACGGCCGGACTTGCACGCCTCAGTTAGCTAGTTGCTGTGGGCGTTGGATCCGTGACAGGGCTTTTGCTCTCCTTTGTGATGGCAATAAAAATAGGTGTTACAAAAATAAAAGTACCCCAAAGCCTAAGTACAGCCAAAATCAAATACAAGGGAAATAACTTTCGTCAATAGGATGTGTTCTGCTGATTCCTCCTTCTGTGAGGAAAAATCTTCCTCCATCCAGCAACTACAGCTTCCATGAATAAAAAGCCATCTCTGAATGAAGGTGGTGGAGCCATCAGCCCTTCCTCCATTCATAGATCCTGTTTCATTCATATTTGCTGTAGTACAGTTTCTGTGAATGCTAGAAAAGGTGGAGAGAGTTGAACTCTCTTGATGAGAACCTGTGGCAGTTCATTAGTTTTATTAATCCTTGCCACATTTTGGCTGCACTTAGGCTTGGTGCCTACATACAAAAACATCAATTAAGTAAAAATGCTAGGGTCATTATTTACAGCTAATTCTAAACTGATGACCTGTAGAGGCTTTTAAAATGTCACTTATGGACAATTTTGGGTACCGAAGTTTGTTGCTGTTTCACGGGCGCACACAATTTTTTAGGGTTGACATGTCTCTTTATTTGACACCACTATATCTTTTCTATATAATTGGGTATTATTTTGTGTTTTTTTGCACTAAAATTAACTTTAGTATATTTTGTTACTGAAATTTGCACTTGATAAACCATCAAATTATAATGTTTTAGGGCAGTGGTTCTCAACCTTCCTAATGCCGTGACCCTTTAATACAGTTCCTCATTTGTGGTGACCCCCAACCATAAAAATTATTTACCCAGTAATTATAATTTATGAGTGTCGTTTTACCTCCAATACTGCTGCTTTCAACACAGTAGCTGCTTTTAACAGAGTAGCTGCTTTCAACACAGCAGCTGCTTTCTACACAGTAGCTGCTCTTTACACATCGGAAATATGTGTTTTCTGATGGTCTTAGGGGACCCCTGTGAAAGGGTCGTTCGACCCCCAAAGGGGTCGCGACCCACAGGTTGAGAACCACTGTTTTAGGGTTTTAACTAATTTTCAGGCCTAAAATAAATATTTGAAGTGTGCAGAAAAAATGCAAAAATGGCTCTGACAGCGAAACTGTTAAACACACTGCCAGTAGACTTAAACCACTTCTCATCTGACCCATGTATATAAACGGCCAGACGGGAGCAGTGCAGGGGCGGGTGGTTGTTTATAAACTGCCTCCCCGCCCCCTCCTTGTGCACGCTCCGGACACCGTGAACACTGATCGTTGTACGGGACCTCTGTGTGAGGTCCCGATCATGTGATCACTGATTGGCCAATCAGTGATCACATTCAGAGTAGTAAACAAGATGTCACTTCTGACATCATTGCTTACTACGTGTGAAATCTGTGAATGATCACATAGGTCACATGGTACAAGGCTATTCACAAGCCAGCCTGGTACCATGTGACAAGCTGTGACCAATCACAGCTCACACAGTATTTCTCAATGGCTGCAAGAATGCAGCCAGAGAGGAGGAGAAATGATTGCTTTTAAAGCCTTTATGGGTGTAAAAGCAATCCTTGTAAAAAAAAAAATAAAATCTTCATAACCATGGTGTAACTATGGTGACAATGTACTGCTAGGGTGGCAGTATGTAAAAAAAATTAATAAAATAAAACAATATAAAAATGTAAAAAAAAAAATTTTTTTTTTTTCAATTATAATTTTTGGTTATAAACTAATTTGTATTTTTTTTTTTTTTTTTTTTGCTAAAAAGATAACTGAATAAGATTTATGAAGAAAGATTATTTGCAAAATTTTATAAGAATTTATTTTTCAAAATTTTTGGACTTTTTCATTTATATAGCAAAAAAAAATCCAGTAGTGAATAAATACCACCAAAATAAAGCTTCATCTGTCTCAAAAAAATGCGAAAAAATTCATATGGGTACAGTGTTGCATGACCGCGCAATTGTCATTCAAAGTGTGATAGTTCTAAAAGCTGAAAATTGGCCTGGACAGGAAGGGGGTGAAAGTGTCCGGACTTGAAGTGGTTAAATGAGCAATGATTGGCACTCTACAGGAAAGAACGCTTGGGAATAAATGTCCATAAGATGGTGCTAGGGTTAATTCAGTGTTCAAATGCACCAATGGCAAGCAAGACAACGTTTATCCATACATCCAATAAATAATTGGATCTTTACAGGATCACTCAGATTACATCTCGGGAAACCCTATGGTTTACCATATTCCTGGTTGGTATGACAATCTTTACCATTGCTATTCATGGATACCTGTGCTTGCTGACATTTACATTCCTAATGGTAATTTTAATGATTGGATTTATGATTGCTTTAATACATTTCCTTCTCTTCTTCATTGGATATTTGGATATATGTTGTCTTGCTTGCCATTGGTGCATTTAACATTGAATTAACTCTAGCACCATCTTGTGGACATTTATCCAAAGCTCTCTTTGCTGTATAGAGTACTTCTCTGTTATTTCTCTACTCCAAGTGGATTTGGTGGAGCAGCTTGGATACCAGTCTTCCACTTCCAGAGAAAAAATGAGAACCATTCCCCCCAACTGGAACCATATTTATATGAATATAAGCGTTCTACGCACCAAATGCGGTGAATTAAAGTTTTCAAATAGTATATGTGTCATGAAAAAACCTAGCAATGCTCTTTGTCAGATGGTTGTACATTGTGGTCCATCTTGTAAGATGTTTACAAACCCTTAACTACATCTGGCTAGGTTCACACTTGTGCGGCTTTGCGAGGTGCGTTTTGCATGGACACGGAAGCCCTTTCTTTTGAATGAGCTGCTGTGCCTCCTGAAACACAGGGAAAAGGTCCCTTCAGCATTTTAGAAATTGCAGCCCACACAGGAACCGCAAGGGCAGTGCAGTTCTAAGTGCCGGAGTGATTTCCATTGTGTGCAGTGTGCCATTAGGATTAAGGGCACCAGCTCGCATCAAGTGTTGTTTTTCTATGCAGATGGTTGCGGCTGCAGGAACAGGTGCAAACCTGCAGCAGGAGCCACCCTCCTTAAAAGTAGGGATGCAACGAAATTTTAGTGGCTGAAATGTTTTGGCAAAAACACCCCTTTCGGTCGCTGGCCGAAATGAAAAAAAAGTACCAAAACAGGTGCCGAAAAAACGTCTGCCGCTCGGTAGTTCAGCCTTACCTGAGAAACCATTGATCCTGGCACTGGGCATAGAGATGAGTGAAGGAAAGATGGCCACCACACCTCTCTATGCCCTTGGAGGACACACTTCTCATTTTTTTTTTTTTTTTTTTTAAAGCACTAGATCAATGCTTTTTTTTTTTTTTTTTTTTTTCTTTTGACTCAATGCTTTATTGACCCCATATCTATCCATAAAGAGGACCTGTCACTAATTATTTCTATCACAAGGGATGTGTGCATTTCTTGTGATAAGAATAAAAGTGATTAAAATTTTTTATAAAGGAACATTGCAAAAAAAAAACAACAAATACATTTTTTAAGATTTTCATAAATCATAACCTGAGCTCACATCACTAGCCTCTACATAATGCAGGGCTGCTGTTAGAAACCACGGGGCCCCATACAGCAAACCTGACAGGGCCCCTCCACCAAAAAAAGAAAAAAAAACAGTTTACTATGCTTCAGTTATGAATGAACACAGTGAGTGATTGTTACCGATCACTCCTTGTGTTCATTCATAAAGGGTCTGGTAAATGTGACATATTTACTGGACCCTTCCCCCACTCTCCATCCTGAAGTCACATTCACTCTGAACATGTTTTGTAATTCTTGTAGCCATCCACCAACCTCTTCCCCCATCCCAGTATTGTCCTGTGAATATCTTCTGTATTAGGGTACACATTGTTCAGCGTGCAGCTGCAGACAGTGTGCTGTTTTTTCTTTGAGTCAGCAGAGGGAGCCCTCTACCAGCACCTTTTGGTAATCTAGCTCCTTACGGTTCCAGTGCTGCTTAATAGATTACTTCTAGTGTCTGGCAAGGCAGCTCCACAGCTTATGACTGAATGGAGACACATGGGTAACAGGCCATAACACCTTTATTAATGGAGGCTGAACATGCTGTATTTTTGCTAATAAAAGGAACCTGTAGGCTTTGACGAAAACAGGCACCATATTTGGCAGATAACAGGAGCCCCTTTAGGGCAGAGATCGTTGGGTCGCTGCACATAAAAACCCTCTTGTTACCTTGACTCTGCAATTCCTTTTTCTTTCCATTCTGTTTGTTCACCTTTGTTTGCTGTTCTTTCCTAGGACAGTCAATGTGGCACAGTTGTCGATGTAAATATAGAATGTATGGTGAAACTGGTGGGGACCAACTGCTTTCTGCACTCAGTCAACAGCAAAGATTTAAAGCACATCTGGGTAAGATGCTGATCAGCAATCAACTTGCAGTAGAACATGCAATAGAAAAATGCAAAAAGTGGACCAACAATTCTCATATTAGTATACACACTTATTTGTTTCCATAAGAGCCACATTTGGGCAAATGTAAAAAGTAGCATTGTTGTATGATAAAAACACTATTAAAAGCAAACTTAAGCAAGTGGATATCTATGCATTTAAAATACATATATGAGCAGATTTCCCTGCCAAAAGGATTTGTAATTTGGTATAGCCAATGATTTACACACTTGATGGGTGATACCTATTTTTTTGCACATAATTTTTCATTGAAAGGTTAGATGCCTACAGGAGTACATATCTGTAGCAACCTTCCAAACGTTCTTGTCATAACCAAATCTCCAGCCTTTCTGACCGGCAAAGCTTTGGTACTTCTGGAGCTTGCATTCTCCTTCCTATCTCCTGCAAATTTCTTTTGAGCAGTGAGGCTTTCTGTCACAGTGATGGGCCAGGAAAAAATGTGTGGGGGTGGGGTTTAGCAGCAAGCTTTGACACTATCTGGAAGTGTCAGATCTGTTCAGCATTGAGCTTGATGGATTTGGGAGACTGCTAACTTACCCTGAGTCCTATCTCGATCCAGCACTGGGCCAAGTGCAGCAGCACTGCTCTCTCATCATTGCCTCACAGGACTCCGTGAGAGCAGTGGGAGCCATCGGCTTCGGCTGCTGTTAACCGAATCTGAAGGGTGGAGCCATGCTGTGTGTGTCCGTGGATGCACGCAGAGCGCAGGTGTGCCACCATAGGAAGCAGCTTCCTATGGTGGCATACAGAAAGGAGAAGAGCCTAGAGCGCCAGTGGGGAACCCCAGAAGAGGAAGTTTGGGGCTACTCTGGGCAATACCATTGCACAGAGCAGGTAATGTATACAATGTTTATTTTTTAAAAAAAAAAAAAAAAGTATAGCCTTTACAACTGCTTTATTTGTATGTGTTTTGAAGTACTTTCTCGTACTCTGAGGTGATGGCATTTGGGGAGGTCTTTTGTGAATGCAAGTCCTAACTTTCAGTTTTTTCCCTTCCTTCAGCCCATCATGTACGGAGATTATATTGCCTACAACTGCTGGTTGGGAAAAGTTTTTGATCTCAAGAACCAAGTTGTCTTAAAGCTATCAAATGGAGCCAGGTACTGTGTTACTAGCAATGCTTGAAAACACTGCAATCATGAAATAATAACATGTAATGGTGTATTTTCTATAATAAATGGTTATGTTTCATGATATCAATGCCTATATGTATTTCTTTTGATTACATGTTCATTTCCATCCGCTTCTGTAGATGTTCAATGACCACCGAAGATGCTTCTAAATTATATGATGTTTGTCCCCATGCAAGTGATTCGGTAGGTACCGTATGAATAAGCAGTCTTAAAAAATGTAATAATGTATTTACTGAATACAGAACTGCAACAATGTAGGTGTTTTTTTTTTTTTATACAGTATATCTAAATATAAACACAGTTACTAAAAATGTTAATTGAATTTCAAAAGCTGTTTTTATTTCTGCAGCTTTGATTAACATAGTAGTGATCCTGCCATGACAGTCCCTTATTCAGCCACTTTCTGTTATCGGATGGCAACTGTTGCGTATTTTTACTCATGCATTTTGGCACCCTGTCGTAAGCAGCCCTGCTGCAGACTACAATAGTCGTTCTGAGACTAACTGAGCAGACATGGTTCATGGTTGTCACTGTCGGGAAACCAGTCCAAAGCAATGATGTGATGCTGATGAAGGTGCTTGTAGACAGTAAGTGGCTGAAAAACACTGGAGGAGGTCAGCAGCATTGAGTTGCTAGAAGTATATGGAGGGGGGGGGGGGGGGGGGGATTGAACACTGTGGTTTTTTGTTTTTTTTCCTGATAAATTTTTTTGTGGGTTTTTTTTTTTTTTTTTTTTTTTTTGCAATTGTGTGATTCTGAGTACTTTTAGTAAGCGAAATGCCTTCTGGATAGGGTTTATATCTTATTTCAAGGTTATTGTTTTTGTTTCCACTGGTAAAGTTCACTAAATCATTGGTTTTTTTTTTAGGGTCTGTTTTTTGATGACTCTTATGGGTTCTATCCTGGTCAAGTGCTTATTGGCCCTTCCAAAGTCTTTTCTAATGTCCAGTGGCTGTCTGGCGTGAAGCCAGTCCTGAGTGCCAAGAGCAAATTCCGCGTGGTTGTTGAAGAGGTGAGTGTTCGAATATTTTTTTTATACCCTACATATAAAATACTTGTTGCTGCTATTCACCGTTCACTAGATTGCTTGCTTTGTATCTGTTCATTGGAAGCATTTTCTGTTACCATAGTTCTGTCTCCTAACTACTATCCCTGATCTATTCAGGTACAAGTGACAGAGGTGAGAGTAAGGTGGATAACCAAAAGCTTTTGTCTAGGATGTACACAGTCTATGGACCCACCACCTAATGTTATTACCCAGGAGAATGTGCACAAGTAAGTATGATGCTAGTTTACGGTAAATATCAGAAATAGTAGGATCATATCCTTCTCCCAATCTTCAGATTTGTAACTGTACATTTAAAATGGCTATTCTTCACATCTGTGGTCACGTGTTCTCAGAGATGTATTGAGGCAGAATAGGGCCTTGGGCAAAGTAGCAGCTCTGCTTCATCTGGGCCTCCTGGACTCCTGCCTAGGTTACCTTGTGTATGATCCAGCTCTGTATGTTTCCAAGCTCTATTATGTACAGTATCTCCTTTGTAGTAGGTCTACATATGATTATTTTTCCCCGATTGTCGCTCCGTGAAAGCCATTTAGATTGATCAGTTACTTTGAAAGACCGCTAAAGCAGAGGTAGGAAAGGATGCATCTTTTTTGCATTCTCATTGCATCTCCTGCATTTTCTCTAGTGTTTTCCTTTTCCGGTCTTCTAATTGCGTTAACTTCAAATCTTATAAAATGCAGCTGAGAAATATGAGAGCACCTCTAATTGTTCTGGCATCTGTCTGCTGGACATACTTCATTTTAAAAGCAATGCATCAGTCCTTTATTCTAGACTATGTTGTTTGACGATTATTGGTAGGAAATGGCTTTGAACAAGAGTTTTTTTTATAAACTTTCCAATTGCTGTTGTTCCCCCTTGATATGCTGGCAATGGAGGTATCTTGACCATACTTAACACAAAGGGTCACTCTAGACAGCCATTTGTGTTTAGGGACTCCATGGTCATCACAGATGTCCGGGGGAAGTCTGATCATGCTCTGTAGCTTTCTCCCCCTGTAATACCTGTAGCACACTTGTCGTTTGACAGGTTTTTATGAATGTTTCCCATGGTGCAGTGGCTTTGCCAGTTATACTTTTATTGCTTCACTCACGGAAATATTGGATGGTAGGGACACTTCAGGGCACCATCGCAGAAACAAGTCGTAAAAATTTAAACAAAACTTCTATTACCCACGCACAGGTATATATTAACACAGGCCATGGATTGTTGCACCTAATGTTTGAGTAGTATATGTCATGTTGTATATCCAAAAAGATGGCACAAAGGACAACATATAAATCCAAACACTACAGATATAGTGCCAGTTCAACTTGTGAAGATTTGTTTATGCCCACATGTCCGATGTATTTCAAGACTTGCTCTTCCTATGGACAGGATAATGTAGTGCATAAATGATGCAAAGAATATAAGATAAATGGCCTGCGATAAGTTTTTTGTATTTCAATAATTTTTTATAAATTTTAAGAATAGAAGAATATACACTGCCAGAAAGAGCGCCCACGCAGGGGCTAGCAATGGGTACATATGTTGAGAACAGTTAGAACGAAGGTCAAGTGTGAACTGACCTCATTTAAAACCAGTAACAAATTGGAAAAAAGGAGGAGAAGGGAAGGAGGGGGGGGGGGGGCAGGGAAGCGCCCATTTGCTGTTGGGCATAAAAGAGAAACCAAAACTGATTTGGGAGCGCTCGGACCAACCATCAGCATAAGCCCAAACTAGCCGGGGAGATCATAGGAAGAGCATACGTCAGCCATGGTTCCCAGACTCTGAGAAATGTACGCTGGGAATCATTGCGGATACTCAACATCTGTTCATTGACCATCAAGGCGGTCCTGCGATTCCTGCACCCCCTGAAGGGGGACTGACGCTTTCTTCCAGGCCTAGACAATCGTTCTAGTAGCCGACAAAAACAGATAGGAGGCCAGCTTCTGCTGGTGAGTAAATAAGTCTGCAATAAATTTTAAAAACATCACATTCCATACATGCTCAATCCAGTGTGAGCTGAAGGGAGAAAGGTGTAAGCCAGCATATAACCGCAGAGATCCAAGCTGGCTTCCTGTGGCGGCAGTCAGTCATACTGCTGGATGGCTCCTTTGCAGACTTGTATTAAGCACCCTTGGGATCTCTACAGTTATATACTGGCTTCTGCCTTTTCCCGCTCAGCTCACACTGGTGTCACATGACAGAACTGGTGACTGCATACCAGGTAATTTGGTGGCAGCTGCGAGTACTGGAGAGGGGGATTATAAACTGGTTGTGAAGGACTTTACTCAGACTTTCACTTGCTCAAAATAGGCAAGACGACAGTGTCTGTTATTGACTGGCATATGGAGTATTAAAAGAAAAGTTTGCGGGTAAGGTCTTTTGACTTAAACTTTTTGCATAACAGTCAGGCAGCTACCAGTTTCAAAGAAGCACAGAAATGGCAGGACCTGCATACTGTATGTGTTTAATGTATTTTGTTACTCTTAAGAGAAATGTATATTGTTTTCAGTGTGTTTTTGATAAATATTTAAAAAGGGATCAGCTTTTTGTAAACCGTATTACTGAAGTGGACCTGAACTCAGTCATTGAAAATTTAATTGTACCTGAGAAATACCCTAAACAGTCTTTGTTGTCTTGAATTCCTTCTGAAAAGTAGTATAACTGTTCTCAGTGTGAAAGTGTATCTAGGCACTCCTATGTCTACACCCTTATAGTTGTATATCTGCAGTGTGAGATCTAAGGCACTGCTTTCTCTGTTAGTCTTAGGAGATATGAAGTGAGACTTGGTGATGTCACTACTGTAGTGCTCACTATTCTCCTTGTTGCAAAGGCTCTGCCTTTATCATTGTGGCCACCTCCACACAGGAACACAGTGCAAAACAAGACTTGGTATATCTGTCATGGGGAAATGGTCAGCTATAGGGAGACAACAGGTAATACTGGTGACTAGCTTTGTCCTCTCCTTGCCTCTTTTTTTTTGGGCACAACTTCCGGAGTTCTGTTCTTTTTAAATATCTGTCTATATTTTAAGCACCTTGTTTTTTAATTTTGTGTTTATGTATATGGGGAATTTGCTCATTGCATCCACTGGCTAGGTTTCCTGTTTTGCAGTATTGGTCTAGACCAGGGGTGGGCAAACTTTTTGACTTGAGGGCCGCAATGGGTTCATATATTGGATCCGGGGGCCGGACCAAGAGTAGATAAATGATGTGTATGTGTCATCCATAGTAAGTATAGTAATATTCCCCCATAGTAAGCATAGTAATTAATCCCCCATATAGTAATTCATCCCCCATATAGTAATTCATTCCCCATAGTAATTCGTCCCCCATATAGTAATTCATCCCCCATAGTAATTAATCCCCCATAGTAATTCATCCCCCATAGTAATTCATCCCCCATAGTAATTCATCCCCATAGTAATTCATCCCCCATAGTAATTCATCCCCCATAGTAATTCATCCCCCATAGTAATTCATCCCCCATATAGTAATTCATCCCCCATATAGTAATTCATCCCCCATATAGTAATTCATCCCCCATAGTAATTCATCCCCCATAGTTATTCATCCCCCATAGTAATTCATCCCCCATATAGTAATTCATCCCCCATATAGTAATTCATCCCCCATAGTAATCCCCCATAGTAATTAATCCCCCCATAGTAATTAATCCCCCATATAGTAATTCATCCCCCATAGTAATTCATCCCCCATAGTAATTCATCCCCCATATAGTAATTCATCCCCCATATAGTAATTCATTCCCCATATAGTAATTCATCCCCCATATAGTAATTCATCCCCCATAGTAATTCATCCCACCTATAGTAATTCATTCCCCATATTAATTCATCCCCCATATTAAGTCCCCAAGTCCCCCCTGTGTCAATTTACTTACCTTTGCTCCGCGCGTTCCTCTTGCCGTGTTCCCGCGCTGTTCCGGTCTTCAGGGCGGACTGTGAGAGGAGCCTAGCTCCCCTCACGTTCGTCACGCTGCCCCGCCTACACACATCCTGACAGCCATCCTGACAGTATCACGCTCCGCGGGCCGGATTAAAAGGTCCGCCGGGCCGTAGTTTGCCCATTGCTGGTCTAGACATACACGGCTCAAATTTTGGCAGATTCCTGCTGAAGTGGTCAAAATTTGAACCATAGCTAAGCCTGTCAGTACTACCTGGCTTGTCTTTAAAAATCTACTGAGCTTCTATCAGATGCAGTCACTGTTTGGATATTCAGGCAGCTGTGGGCACTGCAGTTTTCCGAATACAATGGCCTGTAGGGAATGTTCCTCTATCTGTTTAGCCTGGAAGTGAGAATCAAATGATCTCTCTCCTTCAGCCCATGGGGCTGAATAAGAGAAACCATTTAGTCAGCAAATTGCTTAACCTCATATACACAGCCTCCCAATTGGGAACCCCTGGCTTTTCTTATCAACAGACACCAAAAAAAGGCAATTTGGCAATTTATGTTCGCTGTATTACAACACATTGGACTTGGTTCAGTTTTTCTAAAATGGATCCAACATAGCCACTCTTCCCCTACTGCGGCAATCAGTCATTGAACCTCTCTCATCCTTTCTCCATTACCAACAGGAGCCATCAGGGTTCCCTTGTTTTATTTATCCTCTTTAGAGCACCTTCTCTCCAAAATCAGAGAAATCCTGTATGGTTATGGCCAGTCTTACAGAAAGCTTGCACTGTTACTCCTCTCAAAGCAATTCTATGAATGGGCATTGGACATGGTGCACTCTGCAGCTGATCTTATCTCAACAACTGTTCATGGAGAGGGACTGTATTGAGCCAGTCAAAGCTTGATTGGCTAATCTATAATATCAGTATTAAGTACAATAACCTATATATGGCAAAGCAATCATGTAAAATTTTAAATTCCTATTGTAAGTAGTTCTACAATGTTATGTTTTAGGGTGCAGAGGCTCGGCCCGTTTGATCACACCCAGAGGCAGCTGGGAGAGAGGTGCTTGTACATCTTTCCAACCATGGTGGAACCCACTAGAATCCTGTGTGAGAGCCTGGAGAAGAATTGCTTACTTGGGGAAGTAGCTAGCACCAGAAGGGTATGCAATTATTTTTCAATTCCCAATGGCCATACAGTGTGTGTGTGTGTGTGTGTGTGTGTGTGTGTGTGTGTGTGTGTGTGTGTGTGTGTGTGTGTGTGTGTGTGTGTGTGTGTGTGTGTGTGTGTGTGTGTGTGTGTGTGTGTGTGTGTGTGTGTGTGTGTGTGTGTGTGTGTGTGTGTGTGTGTGTGTAGAGGTTGACATTAAAGTGAACCTGTTTTCTTGTGTTTGCCAAGCATAGGTTTACTATAAAGCAACTACCAGATTTGGGCAAAGTTATTGTCAGCCAAAACATGTCTGAAGGTGCAACTTCTCTTTGAAGGATAACTGAACATTTAAATTTATTGGCTGTCTTAAAGGCAAACTAACGGATTTGGATCATTTTTTTTCTTTTTCTAAGGTTTTTAAATAGTTTGAAAATTCTGGTGCTGAAACCAAAACTGAAAATCCAGGATGCACTTGGCAGAAAATTGAAACCACAATGTCTGTGTATGTGGGGAGGCTCACATTTTTATTTATTTTTTTTTACTTTTAATGTGTATTTTTATTGATTTTATTGCTATCACATAGGGGACCGATGGTCCCCTAGTGATCGCATATAAGTGACAGGTCCTATTTGGGGGGGTGTGAGTCTGTGCAAGGAGGGGGCAGGAGAGTAGCAGTGTATACAGTGAGGAAACAGTGTTTAGAGACATGCTCTCTCATTTGCCTCAGCTAAATATCATTGCCGGTTTTTAAATGCAATTATTGGCATTTTTTTTTCCCCCTCACTATAGCTCCGAGAAGGAGCTGTCATTCGCCCCTCTGCTAAACTAAACAAAGGGGTGGGGTCACTCTGTGACTCCGCTTTTTTAGGTGGCAATTGCATTTAAAAACTGGCAGTGACATTTAGCGGCTGCAAGTAAGGGAGCCTGTCTGTATACACTGCTCCCTCACTGTATACACTGCTCCTCTCTTGCCTTTCTCTTTCCATCGCCCCCCTCCACCATCTGCAGTACACACAGCCCCCCAAAAACCCCATGTCAAATAGTCAGCCCCTCATCGGGGCTGGGTCTCTCATTGTCCGCACCTGTATCGGCTCACTTTTTCCTTTCGGCAAAATGCCGATAGGGCTATTTTCGGCTCATATGTTTCAGCCGCTGAAATTTCGGAGCATCCCTAGTTTTAAATGGTTGTAAATTCTTCTTTTTAAATATATATCGATGAATAGATATATACACACACATTCCTTTTTAATGCTTGACAAATAATTCTCAGAAAACTCTAAACAGACGTAGTAGATAGAGTGAAGAAGAATTAGAACTTCCCATTTTCCTTTCCTCTCTGGTAATTATGATGCTACCAAACGGAAAGCAAGGGAAAATCTGCAACAGACGGACATTTAAAAGCTGACAGAGGTTCTGGCTGCCCTATACTCTACTCCTTGTTTTTTAACCTCAACCTCATGCACACTTGAACTCCTAAACACTGCTTTTACAGGTGTTTAAGCTTTTTTTTTTTTTTTTTTTCTCTCTCTGCGTCTAAACGCCCCTCCATATTAACCTGTGTGTCCATGCACACATAAGAATTTACAGGAGTTTAGAGGCAGAAAAAAAAAAACATCATTTGTGCATTCAAGAGAAGAGCATTTTGGCAGAAAAATATGACTAACAGGCCTAAACGCAGGTAAAGGTGTCTGAATTGCATGTTAAAGCTAGGAGTGTTTAGCGTTTAAGGGTTTTTTTTATTTTAGTGCCCTGAATAAATGAATATTCTGGCCAATAAAATAAATGCTCAAGCTCTTGACACGCCTAAACTCGTTTGGAAAAAGTGCCGCTTAGACACATTTTTTTTAAGCTGCCTTTCTCCTGCCAGGAGAAAAGCATTTAGAAGAGCCCCAGTGTGCATGAAGCTTTATTTCTGGTGAATCAGTTGTCACAAGGACAGGAAGTAATGGGGACATTTCTGTAACAGAGCTCTGGATGGCAGTAAAATCCTGACAGAAGTACTAATTCTTCTCTTCTTAAAAAAAACAAAAACAAAACAAAAAACATTCACCTCTAGGTGGTAGAAGTACATTGCAGAAATTTTGATAAACTTTGTTACAGATTCCTACCTGTTTCTGGTCTGATGGAATAACTTTTTGTGCACAAGATCTTGCTTGTGCAGGACTGATTCTGAACACAAGTGACTAATTCATTGCACACAGCTGATGCACTTTCATGGTTCTGATCAGAAAAGTTGTAGTGTCTGCATCCCTTTAGAAGCGATTAACCCTTAGGGAGTATCTCATCGAAAATGACATTTTTGTTGCAGAGGATGCCTAAAACTCGACTTGTATCTGGACTGTGTACAAAATGCCTCCAGGTTGCCATGTCGCTAATATTGCAGCAGCTTTAGATTGAAAAGGAAAGTTAATGTTTAAGGATATTAAATTACAATATGGGTTCTTTAGCAATTATATGTGCTATTTTTTTTTTCTATATTTTTTTCAACAAAAGTAGTTATCCTTTAAGCATAAACCGACGGTAAGGAGGGAAAAAAGGATATGATAAAGTGAGTAGAGTGCTGCCCACTAGTTGAGTGAATTAAATAATAATAATAATAACAAAACGACGTGACTGAAAAACATATACATGCAAAAAAACACAACGCATTCACGGGTTTAAGATTTTATAATCTGTTCAGCATATATTCAGAGCTCCCGTCACAGCCCCAGGCCAGTGTTGACGTTGCTTTTATTATATACAATTTGTAGTAGAGCAAGTAAGCATCTCAACAACAAACCTGTTTGCTGCCAGGAGCCATAAATGATCATTTCTGTATTGCAGCTTTCCACTACTGGTCGTCTGTAAGCAGATGGTGATATAAAAAGGGCCTGGATAAACTATATACAAGGGATACACGTTTCCAACAGTTTGTGATCTGTTTTTCTAGAGATTACAAAATAGATTTTTGACTATTTTACAGTCCGATACATATTCTATACTTATATTATTATGCAGTATTCTATCCAGCAAGCAGATGGAGCTGTGGTCCTGTTTTCACATATTCCATTTATATTGGCTCTGCTGAATGTGGCTGGTTGTTTGCAGAACTCTAATAAGTCATCAGAACAGTGACTCATCCCTTTTTATAAGAGGGATTTAGGCCCAACTCCAGGTTGAGTGCTCCAGCTGCCTTTATTTTGTATATATATTTATTGTTCCCCATTGGTCTTCAGCTCAGTCACTAAATGTGTCTTTTTCCTCCAGTAGTGGGTGGGTTTAAATGCTATAGAGAATGTCAACATCTAATGATGTGGCACCTCAATTATTCTACTTAGAAGAGGACTGGAACACAGAGCAGTGAGTCTGAAGTCTAGTGCAAGGCAGGTTTTCCTTAAAGCGGAGTTCCAGCCAAAAGGGGAGGTTCCGCATTAAAAATTGGTCCCCCGCTCCCCATTAAGGATTGGCACCTTTGGGGAGCTGGTACCCGAAATTGCCAGGTACCCGCTCCCACTTCTGCTGCGATCGCCTAAGTGATCGGAAGCGGAAGTTGTCCTCCTTTCCTCCCCATAGTCTTGTGGGACACGTGACAGGTCCCAGAAGACGACAGGCCACTCAGGAAGCACAGCGCTACTCACGCATGCGCGGTGGGCACCCGGCTGTGAAGCCGCAAGCTGTCATAGCTGGGTGCCCACAATGAAGATGCCAGCACCTGGAATGCAGGATGGCCGGTGAAACAACCTGCGGCGGGTGCACAGCGGGATCGTGGCACATGTGAGTGGCTGTTTTTTAAACGGCAGCAGCTATAGTTTTTGTAGCTGCTGACTTCTATTTTTTTTACAGAGTTAGTGGAACTCTGCTTTAAGCTAAAGTTGAGCTTTATTTAAAATGAACTGCAAAGCATGCTTTGTTTAGCTAACTCATATTTCTCTGGGAATCCTTTGTCGTGTTTTAAATGTCTATTTGTAAAACAAAATTTTATATACATGAAAAAGTACCTGATATAAAACAGTGGTTTAAAAACCAACTTCTAAAAAAATTACCAACTAAAATAAAATTTGCCCCAAAACTATAGTTTTTAGATTTTAATTCATATTGGTAAAAAAAGCAGATGCCGCCTTCACTCCTAAACTGACAGTTACAGTGCAGCTCCAGTATATGCTGACTATAAACAAAGGAATGCATTCATTGGCCTGGGCCTGTGATGGTAGCTCTCAAAGCAAAGGAAATGAAAATGCTAAGGTAAGAAATGATTTGTAACATTACTTGCTGCCTCAAGATATTTAAACAACCAATGTGTATTAAAAGCACTGTTATCCTATGTGCACTTTAGAGCCACCTGGGTTTTTTTTTCTTTTAATTTTCTATAAAGTGCAGAAGAATTAGAACAAGTTTAACTTCTGTGCAGCTGTGCTGGGCTCCGTTGGAGAGATTCCTTTACACGTTCTCCTGGGGATAGCCTTTTTTTTACATTCACTAGGGGCATGCTGGATCCTCTGTCAGCTTTTTATATTGTCTGGTTTTCTGTGACAGGTTTTCCCTCACTTCCTGTTTGATAGAGAGTTTGCCCTCTCTTCCAGATCAGGGGACAAGTTTTTAACGGAGCTCCAGGCTTCGGTAAAAGCCTGATATGGTTGTAATACCTCCCCACGCTATACAAAAGTAAATAGATAGCTTTGGCTCTGAGGATTTATACATTGCTGATCATTTGGCTTTAAGAGTCATGCCTTTGGTTTTCTTTTCAGCAAGGAGACAAGTTTCGGGAAAAGCAAATAGTAAAAATAATTGCATGTACACAAGACTCCTCAAACCCAGCAGAGCTATTCAAGAGACACTCTACTCTAGCATCTGAAGTGACTGAGAAAGGCAGTAAACAGAACGAGGCTACCAATGGAAAAGAATTGTCAAAAGCTCCAGCCCTTGAAGAGTGTTCTGCACAGGACCAGCTGCTGGGCAACATCCAGGAGATGTTCCAGGACTTCCCACTTCAGGCCAATGAACAGGATGCAGACGACGAGGCTGCTGAAGACACAGATGACACAAGCTCTGTGACGTCTTCTGCCAGCTCGACCACCTCCTCAAAAAGTGGCAGTGGGGCCAGCCGTAAGAAGAGCATTCCTCTGTCCATACGAAACTTAAAGAGGAAGCACAAAAAGAAGAAAAAGAGCAAGGTCTACAGAGAGTTTAAGCCAGGGGACAGGTTTGTAAGTGGGGGAACCCCAAAGCTTTGGGCTGGTCTTCCAGTATGATGGGGGGGGGGGGAGTGGGGGTTATGAAGAGAGGACACAGCACGGCTCAGGAGCGCAGCCACATGTGTACCCCCATAACACACAGCTTGCTATGGGGGCACACTCGGGAAGGAGGTGGAGAGGGCGCCGGTAGGGGCCCCCAGAAGTGGAGGTAAGGGACCACTCTGTGCAGTACCATTGCACAGAGCAGGCAAGTATAACATGTTTATTATTTTAACTTTAAAAACATTTTAAGACCAGCGAGGTGTATGCCACTTATCTCTTTATAGATTCTACAGCTGCAGTCTCATGTGCAGCCTCTCTGCCCTCCCCTCATTTCCTTATGCCCAGTCATGAACTGCTATGTATAATGTCAACCCATTTACAAAATACAAAGGGGTTGATTTACTAAAACCTCTGGTGCAGCTGTGCCTGGTAGCCAATCTGCATGGTAGTCAATCTGTTTCTAACGTCAGCTTTTTCAGTTAAGCTTTGACAATAAAACCTGGAAACTGATTGGTTTCTATGCAGAACTACACCAGATTTTGCACTCTCCAGTTTTAGTAAATTATTTCCAAAGGCTTCTGTGAATGGACAACAGAGGGGAGAGGCAGGTAAAGCGGATGCTGCTGAGAAAACAGCATCACTGCTGTCTGCATTTTTACTAAGGGCTGGGAGTACAGCTATCGCTATAATCCCAGCATGCAAATTGTATATAACAGTGATAAGATCGCATGGTGGCATACATCTTGTTGGACTAAACCCCTTATAAGCCAGAATATTGTAAAAGGGCTGTAACTCCTGGAGTTCCAATTTAAATTGAGTATTTATGGTTTTCCTTTATCTGTATTTTTTATAATAATAGAAAGCTTTATTAGACAATTAACCCTTTGAGGACCAAGGGACGTATTTGTCCCATGTTTTTAATTGCGTGGATCATCTGATTAAGAACTTAAACTTTATTTTTTTTTTTTTTTTTTTTTTTTTTTTTTTGAGTCAAAAATATTAGTTCTTATCAACAAACAACAAATGGATCTAGCTTTTTGCCAATTGTTTCATGAAATGGCTTAGTTACAGCAACTGAAGTGTACGAACTTTAAAAACAAAAAAATTTAATCTTTTGGCGTTCCAAAATCTTACGGTCCTCAAAGGGTTAAAGAATTCCAGAGTAGTTGGACAGTGTCAGTCAAAATATCTACAGGATATTCATTGTCATTAAGACAGGGTATAAACAGTAGGCCAGTACATACAATGGCCACCGTTACCACTTAAATTTACAATCCTGCCTATCACCAGATCCAGCGGACTCAAACTTGGTGTGTCCAACAAATTCGCCCAATTTTCTCGAATTTATCAGGGTAGACCCTATTTTGGTACAGTTACGGTCAAAAATTTTGGCACCCCTGCATTTCTGTTAGATAATGCACCACTTTGTCCAGAAAAGTGTCTCATTTTATTTCTTTTGCTTGTATTGGTATGACACAAAGTGGAGAAACAAAAAGCCAAATCTGATACATTCCATGCAAACCCCAAAAAGTGACTGGACAAAATTATTGGCACCCTCAATTTTAATATTTGGTAGCACACACCCCTAAAAAAAAAAATAACTTGAATCAATCACTTCTTGTAACCATCAATGAGTTTCTTCCACCTCTCCATTGGAATTTTGGACCACTCTTCTTTTGCCAACTGCTCCAGGTCTCTCAGATTGGAAGGGCTTCTTTTCCCAACTGCAGTTTTGAGATCTGTCCACAGGCGCTCTATGGGATTGAGATCTGGACTCATTGCTGACCAGTTCAGTACTCTCCAGTGCTTTCTGTGAAACCACATCTGGGTGCTTTTTGACGTGTGCTTTGATTTACTGTCCTGCTGTAAGATCCATGACCTCTGATGGAGACCCAACTTTCTGACACTGGACCATACATTGAACCCCAGAATTCTTTGTTCATCTTCAGATTTCATAATGCCATGTACACAGTCAAGACATCCAGTGCCTGAAACAACAAAGCAACCTACAAACATCAGTGAACCTCCACCATATTTGACTGTAGGGACTATATTCTTTTTTTTTTTTTTTTTTTTTTTTTTTAAAGGCCTTATTTCTTTTTCTGAAAACAGTAGAATGATGGGCTTTACCAAAAAGCTGTAATTTTGAGTCAATTTTTCACCATTTTAACTGGTTGCCGGTATGATTTCTATATTGTCAGCACCTGTTAATTGATACTGGTGAGTTTCATTACAAATCACAGGAGCATCACAAACTTGGAATGCAATTATTTTTTATAATTTTGAAAAGGTGTCAATAATTTTGTCTAGTCCATTTTTGGGGTTTTGGGTGGAATGTGTCAGATTTGACTTTTTGTTTCTCCACTTTTTTGTATCATATATAAACAAAAGAAATAAACATGAGAATGCCTAAACATTTGTAATTGCACCATTTTTTGTGGGTGAAGTGGTGCATTATCTGTCAGAAATTCAGGGGTGCCAATATTTTTGACCATGACTGTATATATAATGCTCAAGTCTATGGGTCACACACCCATATGTCTTATCCACTCCATGAGCGCAGGGAGGTCCTTTATCTGAGTTTTAAATTTAAAGTAAAACCTGTGTTTTTTCCCCATCAGGACCAACCCCAGCACAATTTACTTACCTTTCCTTCACTTTCCACCCATTCCATTCAGATCTAGGAGCCATAGAAAATGCCCAGTATGTCTTGGTTTGGAGGAATGTGACTCTGCTATGGGAGAGTCCATATAGTGCTGTGCGAGTTATGACTCGATTACAGAGGGCTTTCCTTTTATTTCTGGTGGCTGAATGGAGCGGCAGGGTAGTGAAAGAAAGGTAAGTATGTATCTGTGAAAATCATGTCCTGCATGGGAAAATAAAGATGCTTTGTTAGAAAGAAAGCTTGTCACCTGAATAAGTGCTCCAGGAACCTTAAAACACAGACACCTAGATGAGCTTGTATGTAATTAATCGCATCTTCTTCAGCTCCCCAGTAGACATTAGGCAGTGACAGTTTCCTTTTTTGACCCTGATCTCTACCACACCTAAGATCTATGCTTGCCCGACCAATAGAGGCACGCATTGTAGGTAAATGGGCCACAGATGCATGTTCCAAGCTGGAAGAATGGTCTATTGAGATTTTATGTCCCCATTTCAAGATCAGCACTACCAATAACATATTATCAGCCTAGTTACCTTATTAGTCTTTGGTACAGAAGAGGAAAACAGTAATATCTGTATGACTAATGTTTTATATTTCTCATTCTTTTTTAGGGTGGCAGTTGAAGTGATCACTACAGTGACTACTGCAGATGTTATGTGGCAAGATGGCACTTTAGAAATGAACATTAGGTCTAACGAACTGCTTCCCATCCAGCATTTGGATAATAATGAGTTTTGTCCAGGCGATTTTGTGGTGGATAAAAGAGGTTAGTGAATACACAAATACAATTCTTTCAAGAAATACTCCTATCACACTGTTTTACTTATTCATTTTTGCTTTATTTTTTATTATCAAATAGCCCACACTGTGCATGATGCCAGTGTATATGGTATAGTCCAGTCTGGAGACCATACAGGGCGTACGTGTGTGGTGAAGTGGATCAAGCTGAATTCTGAAGGAGATGATGTTGAGGTGAGTGAGCGTGGTCAGTGTAGTTTGAGTGGTTATAATCACCACCTGTTCTTTTTGGTTTTGTGAGTGAAGTGGTAGGGTCTGTTTAAAACCCAACCCCCCAAACGCCTTATACTCACCTAAATATTTCTTTCTTTGCTCTCATTTTTATGGATGGCATTGCAAAATATTAGGTGCTTTTGGTTATGGGTACAACAACCTACTCTGTACTACAGCTGGGCTTAGCAACCTATCATTATGTACAAGTACTGTCATAAGACATAAAGGATGATGTTGCCACTCTTTATTCTGATACCAGCCAATTTTATCGTGGCTACCAGGGAAGGAGGAGTGTCTGTGGAGTTCTGTGAAGGTTATGGGCAGTAGTCTTTAATTTAAACTACCAGATCTGTACAACAGCTATGGTTATCACATGGGATTTCTCTTGCTCTTCTGAGTTTTTCTTGTATTCTATACCAAAACTTAATTGGGTACAGAAAACTAGCAGTAATGCTGGCCATACATTATACAGTTTTTCTTGTACAATTTCCTTTTAGATTTACCATATAATATGAGGTCATGCCTAAACACTTTCATATTGTATCAATCAGGCAGGCCTTTGCACTAGTTGAAGGTAAATTTAAAGGAAATTGAAATAATAAAATTGTATTAATGTATGTATTATTATTATTATTTTTTTTTTTTCATATCACCTGTTTCACTGGAATACATTAAATGTATTGAGACATAGGGGAAAGCAGCCCCCTTACAACAACTTTGTACGTTCCTGTAGTGGTTGTGATAGAGAATGACAGCTCAATATGTTTTCTAGACTCTGAACAGTCCACTTCACCAAGAGCCAAGAGATGAGCTTGCTCTACAGTAGTCAAAAAAGCATGTCAATACAAACTATATAATATAGTGCAGTGTGCAATGGAAGGTTGATTCATCACCAAGTATAAACTGGTATCCATTGCCCTTGAAGGTGCAGAAGGGGGGCACCAGCACAGAAAAGGAGAAAGAGACAATCCCTCAAACCATCAAGTGCATCATGCTATACCTGCTCTGTGCAGTGGAATTGCACAGAGGGGCCCCAAACCTCCTCTTCTGGAGTCCCCTGCCAGCAACCCCCCCCCCCCCCCCTCACTTTGCTTGCTAGGGGAGCTCTTGTGCAGGCTCAATCCTGAATCAGGTTATGGGTTTGATTGACAGCAGCAGGAGCCAATTGCTGTTCTGTGAATGCAGGCAGAGAAATGAGCGCTGCATTCAGTAGCTTTTACCCTTTGGAGAGCACTGTGAACCCATTGGGGCTGTATTTCTTTGCACAGTGCAAATATAAACCGTTTATGTAATTGTGTATAAATTAATTTAGACTGAGGCTTGCCTGAATCTTAGCAGTAATAACGATGACCCATTGGCCTTACAGGTTGTGGGAGAAGAAGAGGATGTCAGCGTATATGACATAGCTGATCATCCAGATTTCCGTTTTCGAACTACAGATGTTGTCATACGTCTTGGTGGCACAGAGATTGATGTTCTTCCAGATGGTACCCAGGTAACCAGTCCATTCGGGTGAAGCAGGTAGCAGCTTATTGCTACATGTTATCATTGACTTTATACAGGGAGGTGGTTAGCTGCAGTTCAGTCCATATGTAAATTTGACAAGCTTTAGATTCTAGCAAGAATTATATAAAGATTTAACAAACTGGATTGTCTGACTTTAGCAGTTGCAGTGTTTTAGAAGTGTACAAAATGTATGCTATATATTGCTTGCTGTAATGAATCTCTGAAACTCCTGTTTTACTTACTGCTGTGTTAAGTATTTTGAATGAGAAGCGTAGAGCATAGCCAGCCCTTTTAATCTGTCACGCAAGTTGGTGTATTGTGAACGAATAGAAACGACATAAAGTGTGCTCAAAAAAACGATATGACACAACTTAAGAAGTGGTTTATAGTCCTTTTTTTCAGAACCTTTTAATGTTGAACGGTGTTTGCTTTGTGAAATAATAAAGCTTTTGTAGCCAGCTTCCTCATCTAGTGTATTATGAACATGGTTCTGTTCGTGAAGAAACACAAATAGATGACTGCTTCTCAAAGACAGTCGCTTACTTTACTGTTCAGGCAGCCTAGTCTTATTGAGACATAGTAGCTCTCTTGAAACTGCCTTAACATGTATGTATAGATAATTTTTTCATATGTACATTCTTCATTGTTCTGCGTGTAAATATTTAGTGAATGCCAAAGCATTCAAAGGGCACAGAGGTTGGCTGAAGAGATGGAGCAGGTGTAGTTTTTGGCTGTCTAGCTGCCCCTCTCTGTAAGTTCTGATTTTTATGATAAAGTAGGGAGTCCTTCAAGAACACAAGGGGACTTCCTCCTATGGAGATAAAGACGGCAATTAAAGCCTGAGAGAAGACCATGGCTGAAGTACCACTGCAGCAGATTAAATACGTTTTCTAATCTTAAAGACCTCTTTACAAATAAGGAATATCTTTCCCCTTTGGTGGAAGTAGGGGTGTACCAGAAGGACAATACTTCTTTCAGATTTGGGTATCCATATCTACTGACATTTCTGCACACAGCTTGAAGGCTTGCTGCCACCAGAAAATACTATTGTCTCTGTGGATTTTTTAATGAAAAGTGGTGAAGTTGCACACCGCTGATCCCTTGCATAGAAAAGTGAGAACATAGGTGGTGTGTGTCTGTCACTGCAAACCAAAAAAAGTTTTCTTTTTGTATTTTTGTTTTTTTTTTTATATGCAATATGATCAGCAGCATGCAGCTTCACTAACTTTGTATGTAAACAGTATAGGGAAGTGATGAGACTCCGAGGTTGCCAGAAAGGGAGCTGTAGGGAGAGAGGAACAGGACCTTAGAGCAGTTTCAGGGATACGTGAGTGACTACTGTCTCTGTAGTTGATTCATACATACTGCAATAAGATAAAATTGAGCAAGTGGATTTGGCTCTGTCTCATAGATGGTTATGCATGCAGTGGCATTATCCAGGTTTTTATTTTTGAACTGTTTGTATAGCCAAAACATTTTATAATTCATGTGGGAATTTCCCTTACTTGCTCCATCTCCTGGGACAGAAAGTGAAGAGAAATTTCCTTAATAGGACACACAAAGTAAACTGAACTTTCCTACTCTATCCAAAGCTAAAACAGTTTTTAAAAACTTGCATATGTTACCAAAGTTTAAAATAAATGGCACAGTTGCAATATTCTATGTAATGTTTATTCTCTCTGTTGCCGCTGACTTCTAGCCCTCAGTGGGACAAGTGGCTCGTGTAAACACCGAGAGCAAGATAGAAGTTATTTGGGCTAACAACTCTAGGTCCATTCTTCTTCCAACGGTAAGCATGTTGAATGTTACTGCTTAATCTTTATGCAAGGATTTCTCTGTCCAGTTGCAGTTTATGTATTCTAAAAAAGGAAGTTTTAAATTTAAGCTATCCATACACACATAGGTTTCTCAATCCAGGCTAAATGGCTTGGATGGAGGAATCTTCTCTGCCAGCTATTGCATTTGCACATTTGGCATCCTCAGCTGTCTGAATACTTGAACAGTAACTGCACTTATTTGAGTGCTGTTTGGCTGACAATTTTCCACCAGCTTCTCTGATCTTTGTTTTTTTTTTTTTCTTTTGTTCAGTCGATTATTGTAGAGGCAGCTGGTGTCGACCGGATTGTGTTTGGTAGACATAAAGGATAACTAAACCCAAGAACAGAAAATAAATAAATTGATGCTTACTAGCCTTAGATGTGGTGGCCGCATTCATTTTAATTTTTTTTTCTTTTTTACAAGCTAAGGACATATTCAGAAATGCAATGTCCTTATCACTTCCCGTAAGCTCCACCGAAGAATATCTTGCTTCCTAGCTGCCATTGGTAAACTACCAAGGACAGCTATGGAAGCCCACACTGGCTTCCATAGCTACAGGCACTGTTTAGTAATTTGTTCTAAAATTTCACACCAGAAGCGGTGCTTCCCCCATCCTACAGCAGCTGCTGTGTTTTACATTAGATTAGAAAGCTGTGGAGCTGCTAGAAGAGGGAACAGGATGAGCTGAGCTCAGCACGTTTTTTTTGAATTTTGAGGATTAATTGCTGTACAGTGCATGTAGATATAGAGGTCAGGAAGGCTTATTTCAGAACATATTTGTAGCTTCTTAAAAACATGTAAACACTTAAATGTCTACAGCCTAACCACAGGTACACTTTAACCTTCTTATGTTTAGGGAGAGGAGGCAGATCGGCAAAGGCAATTTACTCTTCCTGAATGTCTTTAGTCCAGCCATCATATGTATGTCTGTATCAGACGCTTGAGATCTCATCTGTACACTTGATGGAGTTTGTACAACCAGAAAGCTAGCAGCCTGTGCTGACTGTTCTATATCATGACTATAGTTACAAAATGCTTAATATATTTTCCAAATCTCAAACAGAAAAAGGTTTTGGTTTTTGGGTTTTTTTTTTCTAGCCCCCCCCCCCCCCCCCCCTGTTCATTTTTCTATAGTATTAAAAAAGAAAAATAGAAGGGTACCTTAAAAGAGCAAGAATTTTAGCTATACGGCTAAGAGAAGATGAAAATCACTTAAGAGTCCCACCTGGGAATAAAATTTTTAGAGTCAATCAATTCCTGCATTTTAATGGCTGTGGGGTAAAGCTTAGCTGATGCACCAGCAGAATCTATTTGGCTTAATTGATTAAAAAAAATATATGATTGGTAAAGAACGGCTGAATATCTGTATGGCTTAACTCCTTTGTGATTAGAGGTCATTTAAAGCCCTGGATGCCAAGACCAAATATAACTGCATCAGCGTGGGTCTGTTTACTTGACAAATCAAAATAATTCTTGTAGTTTAAATAGTTTTGTGACCGAAGGCATTACACTTTTATTTGGTGCACTGCTTTAATAAATGAAATGATCAGTAGACCAGAGTCAAGTTGTTATGGTCTTCTGAAACTGCATGTGTTACTATGATGATGAATTCCACATTCCCAACATCTAGAATGAATGAAAGAATATATGTTTAATCAAACCCTACAAATATCTTCATTCTGGAAGATATGGTAATATTCAGGATGCAATGTTTACTTTTTTTTTTTTTTTTTCTTCACAAAGCTGTCTCCGTTTCATAGTGAACAAGATGTCTCCCCTATCTTTTTTTCCAAATCCCAAACATAAGATAGAAAGTTTGCAGCATTTCAGACGACATGTGACCCACAAAATTGAAGAAAAGATTATTTTTTTTCAGTCCAATATATAGGGCCCATAAGGGATTAAACATCTACTATCTTAACTGCAGCTTGGATTGTTTTGAATATAGACATAAAAGTCCTCCATTAGGTTTTTAGAACTTTCTAACAGGATCATAATCTCCTGAGCAGAGCAGTCCTCTGTCACTGTGGAACAGATCTGCTGAAATGGCTACCTGTAATGATGTCCACAGCTACACTAAGCACCACTGACCAAGAATTATCTTTCCATTATAAGATTGTCTCTGTGGCAGTCCTTCTCTAAATTAATATTCCTGCATGTTTTTTTCCATCAAGGGTTATAATTTCAGCCAGTGTTATTTCCATTGCTAATTTGAGGCAGACCCATTTTCCTGCCCTCCAGAAGCTTTTACGTCAAGTCATCTGTGTTAATGAGGCTACGGGGGGGGGATAATCTTCTGGCTGTTCCTATCCTTAATAGGTGGCAGGGGGCTTTCATGGAAATACCATTACTGAGAATTAATGAAACGGCAGTCAGTTTTGGGATACATACATCTGACACACTATATAGCTAAGAAGATGACCCTTGCTCATCTATACAAATTCCTGTAAATTTTCCTGGATGGATTGGATGGAGGTAATCCATACTTATTTATTTATCCGGTGAACTGGTTGGAGTAAAGTAGGTTATACTATAAGCTGCAAAACCGAACTAGGAAATAATGGTGTCACTTGGCTGTGCAATGTGGCAGAGGTGTATGAATCATTTCCCCCCAAAAAAAGTCATTAAACGCAATTTAAATTAAAGGAATATTACATTCAAAGCTCTTTTGGGTGTACTTCTCCTGTGGATCACAGGAGTGCAGTTCGTTTTGCACTGTGAACCGTTTTCAGCTGTGGGCTGAAGTCACTTAGCTGGTCCAGGCTGGGGAAAGATCCCGACTTCAAAGTCTGGATCCATGCCAGAGTCTGGGGTGGCACCTGGCTCTGGCTCTCAGCAAAGCACTGAGAGCCTGAGCCAGCCGCTCCCTTCCTCTCCACAGCCCAGCGATCCAGTGCACGGTGGGGGAGGGCAGAGCAGACAACGGTGATTGCCAGCCACCGCTCTCTGCTCACCGGTCATGTGATCGCTGAGTTCTCACCCTTAGAGCAGACGGAAGACAGATGCAGAATCGAAAAAATGCTGCATCCACCTACGTAAGTATAAATAGGGGGGGGAGCTCTACTTCTTTTAACTAGATTGCGTGTTGCGAAAAAAGGCACTGGCGTTACATGTTCAATCCAAGACATAAATAGGAAAAAGTACTTTCCCAGAGACTCCCCACTTACAATCTTTCCATCAAGAACATTCAGTTAAAATAGAAACAGTAGGAAGGGGGAGTAGTTAAATTTGGTAATTTTGAAATCTAAAACCCAAATTTGCCAAGGTAATTATTTTGAAGTCTTGACAATTTGACTTTTTTTTTGTAGTGTTAATATGTCCAGTGATGCCTTTCAAACACACATACATTAATTCTTAACTTTATCGGTAGAACAATCATAAATATGCATCTACACATGACTAAATCGTGTTGGAGCCCTTTCACTTCCTATTAAGTTTTTGAATGATTAGCAGAAAGTAAAATGCACAAAAAATAGCTTCAAATATTGAACCCCTATTATTATGCAAAAAAGTAGGTACACCCATGGAAACTGTTGACTTTTACAGCATATTTGAAAAGGCCAACATTAGATGTTTATTTAAACTATGCCTACAGATAAAGGCGATATACTTGAAAAAAAAATCTCAAGGAACTATCAATAGATGCAGCGGTGTTTTGGGAGAAAAGTTAGTACACCCTTGGCCTTAGAAGCTGATATTGCTTCCTTAGCCAAAATGACTTACTGTGTTTTTGATATATTTTTTTTTTTCTTTTACCACTCCTTCCTGCAACATTTCTACAGTTTTAAGATGCTTGCAGCTTTCTTTGTATGAATTGCCAATTTCAAACCCCTCCACCCCCACACATTTCAATTTAAATTAGGGCTTTGACCTGGCCTGCAGTCCATAACCCTCTATTTTTTCTTTTGAACCCATCCTTGTTGGATTTTCTAGTATGCTTTACATCATTATTGTGTTAAAAGACCAGTATCTGGTGGAATATGAGGCATCTGTCTGAAAGTTGAGATTAAACCTATATATTGTAAAGAGCTGAGCAAACTGTTGGTGCTATATAAATCCTGTATAATAATAATATAATAATAACCTAAAACTGTGTTATGCAGAATTCATAGTTGACTTGATGACTTAAAGTTGCCCAGTCCCTGAAGCAGCAGAGCAACCCTAAACCATACTTCCACCACTACGCCTCACAGTTGGCATGAGGTACTTTTACTGAAGTACTGTTTGTAGTTTGTACCAAATTTGTCTAGTGTAACTTTGCCAACTCCTTAATTCACCAGTCCACAGCACATTGTTTCAGAAGGCCCAGTCTTTGCCTGTATATTCAGCTCTTGGGCTGAATTTGCTGGGTCAGTCAGTCCTTGGTATATTAGAAGTTATTTCAATTCTACACCACTTATAGATTATTTTCCTTACAGTAGAAGATATTCTACAGTGGATTTTAAAAAAATTTGGCAATCCTTTGAAATCCCTTGCCAGACTCATAAGCATCCACAACTTTCTTTCTGAGGCAACTTGATTTTGGCATGAAGATGCCATGCATGTCAACAACAAAAAGAACACCAGACCCTAGATATCAGAGGCCTAAATAGGTTTTTGCCTTCATATTTCAAGGAGGTTATAATCTGAAGAACTTTGATTTCTTGTTCTCTTGGATTTGAAATTACGGTAATTGTAGGGGTGTACTACAATTGCTACAATTGTTTGGTTGTTCAAATATGTTGAATAGGTAAACAATTGTATGGGTGTACTTACCTTTTTTTACATGACTGTGTGACTTTACTGTACATGACTGTAAGAATTATTTTTATATATATATATATATATATATATATATATATATATATATATACACACACACACACATTTTATTATGGTTTTTTTTTTTTTTTTTAATACCAAATATTTATACTTACCTGCTCTGTGTAGTGGTTTTGCACAGAGCAGCCCAGATCCTCCTCTTCTCAGGTTCCCTCAGGCACGCCTTGCTCCTCCTCCTTCCAGTCAGGTGCCCCCACAGGAAGCAGCTTGCTATGGGGCACCCACTGCTCCGTGTATCCACACACACAGCCTCGGCCACCCTCTCTCTCTTCTCATTGGCTCACTTGCTGTGATTGATAGCAGTGGGAGCCAATGTCTGTCCCAGCCAGAGACGAGGGAGTACCGGAACAGCCGAGACCCAAGTGCACATCGAGAGGGGACTTAGGTGAGTGTTAGGGGGGGCTGGGGGAGATACTGTACACAGGTTTTTTACCTTCATGCATAGAATGCATGAAGGTAAAAAACCTTCAGCCTTTACAACCACTTTAATGGAGGCTGAATGTAAACAAAGTAATATTAAAAATGGCTTGGGCCTCTGAAGACAAAAGCAAAGGAAAAGAAAACATAAAGGCAAGAGATCATATTTGCAAAGTTGCTTGTTGTCGCTGGGTATATTGAAAGGTTAACTTGTTTTAAAAGTGTTGTTATCTTTGTTTTGTATCTAAAGTTGTTAGGCTCCAGGCACACTGGCTTAAAAAAATGCCAGTGCTCTTGGCAGAAAGAAATGCCAATTTTAGGCGGTTTTTGTACTGACGTTTAGAAGGATTCAGCATTTTTTTTTTTCTGCCAGAAAAAAAGCTTTCAAAAATGCAAAATGTAAGGGATTTTTTTTTCTGCCTGTAAAAGATGAGCTTAAAAAAAAAAGTCTCCAGACTACCTAATGTGCATGGACACATAGGATAACAGTTGCTTCTACAGGCAAAACACTAAACTCCAAGCTTCTCTAGGAGCAGTGTTTTATTTAAGCCTGTGTGCATGGAGCCTTAGACATAAATAAATAAAACCTGACAGGTTTTGTAACCCTTCTGTACTCTATCTTTTTGCTGTCAGTGATAGGAAGTGAAAAGAAATTTTCCCTGCTAGACCCAAAGATTCAACAGAAAATGAGCAGCCATCCTATCTAAAGTAAGAGGAAATCGCCTCTTAGTTGTCATTGGGACAGATGTTCAGATTAGAACATTTGACCTTATTTCCTGTTCTGGTGACTACTATATTTGTGATTTCCCATTTTTTTCTGTCCTGAAGACATGGCCACCAGCACAAATAGCGAATCTTATCAGGGATGCAGACCGCATTAAAAGCCTGACAGATATTATATCCTTTCCTTGAATCTAAGCCTGGCAGGGATTCTCTCCTTTCCTTTAAATCTAAAGCTGAAAAAGTTTGGCTGTAGATATACTTTAACTTGTACAATATATTGCAAATTCCCTTCTTACCACCATTAATGTTCCTCCTCAGCAATTGTACAATGTGGAGTCAGAGATTGAAGAATCCCTCTATGACTCTGTAGGCAGCAGCTCCAGTGGTGCCTCCTCCGATGAATGGGAAGATGACAGTGACAGCTGGGAGACGGACAATGGCCTAACAGAAGATGAAAACTCACGCCTTGGGGCAGAGGCCATGGAGCAACCCCAAAACCAAACTGTTGCATCAGAGCCCACAACACAAGCCGAAGTAGAAGAGCCAGAGCCGGGTTCTTCTGCAGCTGCATTGGGGGTTCCAGGTCTTGTGGCCAAAGCGAATGAGAAAGAAGGGATTGTCAAGAGCTTTAAAGAATTTAAGGAGGCTATTAAGATTCTTGAGAGCCTGAAAAACATGACTGTAGAGCAGCTTTTGACTGGTTCTCCAACATCACCCATTGCTGAGCCAGAAAAATTCACTAGAGAAAAGAAATTCCTAGATGATATCAAGAAACTGCAGGAGACTCTTAAGAAGACACTTGATAATGTGGCCATTGCAGAGGAAGAAAAGATGGAATCTGCTCCAGATGCTGAGAAAGAGGACAAGGAAGCACAGACGCCAGTCCGTTCTGAATGGCCAAGTGACACCCCTGTACTGTGCCAGCAGTGTGGTGGCAAACCTGGTGTCATATTCACTAGTGCTAAAGGAGAGGTTTTCTCTGTGCTGGAGACTGCACCAGGTAAGGGCCTGTTTTGTTGCTGGGTGTTTCATGCCTATCTTGGACTGATGACCACATTGTGATCTTATTTTATGTTATTTGTTAAAGGACATGTAAACCCTAACAATGAACTTTCTTAGCACCCCCCCTTGCAAATAAAAGTGTTTTATCTGTTCAGTAATTGCTAAAAAAAAAAAAAAAAATACCTGTTGATTAGTCCAGTAAACTCCAAGCTTTCCTAAAATATGTTTAGGAGAGTAATTGGACCTCATAATGCTCATCTTAGACTACAGAATGATTAGTTTTTCTGTTGTGGAGATGAGGACATTGGTATGACTACTGTAGTTTTAGAAAAAAAAGCAATTGGTCTGCGCTGACACCTGTCAGCCCACAAAGCAATGATTTCTGCATTTTTGTCAAAGCAATGATTTCTGCATTTATGGGGTCTTTAAAGGGATAAACATGGATAAATATGCACACATCGCAGATATGTACTCTGACTCCAGTAAAAGTAATCCAACGGCTGAAAAAAATGATACCGGTGTCATGGTTGTAGCCTCAACCATGATCCCGGTATTACCTCTTCCCTGCCAGATGTATATATACTATTGCCGGTAGGGAAACCGTTAAAAAAAAAAATAAATAAAAATACAAAATCCAATGTTTAAAGTCACTTTAAAGGCTCTGTGCAGGGAAGATCAGCATCTGAACCCAGAGAAGCTGGAGGCTGCTGGTAGACTGAAGGTAATATAAGGCATTACAATTACATTTAAAGGAAACATTTTGCCAGTATTGTGCTTGGATATAAATTGATTATATCCATGCAAAAAAAAAAGTCTCAGCCTTAATACTACTTTAATATAAAATATGTGTAACCCCCTCCCCCTTTCATGTAGCTTCATGTCTGACTCCCAGTTAATCCTACCTGAGGATATATGTGTGTATGTGTGTGTATATACACACATATATATGCATACGTGTTAGACAAATGCAGGTGTGAAAGTGACCACGTTTTGCATTGAAATCAGAAGTGATGTAACACTGTTTTACTTCCGCTGTGTGATGAGACACCTAGCTAACAGGTGGGAAGCCTCACTTTCATCATTCACTGCAGGAGCTGCTAGGAATGCAAAGTCATTTTAGAGCTTACTGAGCTTCACAGAGGGCAAATTTCTGGTGCCTCTGTGACTGAAGTTGCCAATTTATTTGCCGTGTCGCGAGGTACAGTATCAAAAGTGATGACGGCATATACATTTTCCGGGAAGATACCGTCTAATAACCATAAGCGCTGTTGACTTAGTCAGCTGAGCGAAAGAGGCAAAAGGACATAGCACAGGATTGTGACCCAGAATAAAAAAACTTCTGCAAAACTGACTGCAGAGCTCAATCTCAGTCCCGAGTCCTGTGAAGACAGAGATTGAACTCTACAGTTACTTGGGAGTGAAAGGTACTTTAATGTAGGTTTTGTTGTATAAATTTGCACAAATTCTTGTTCTTCAGCAGCTATACCCTGACCTGGAACTTGAACTATTATTCAGAGTGAGAATCCTGGCATAATACATCTATAATCTTGAATCTCCATTCTCGCAGTTCCTTAGGGTATTATGTCCACCCTACTGAAACCCTAAGTCACTCGATTTGCTGACATTGTTTATGGTTCATGTTTATCTGGAATGTTTTGAAATTGAATTTAGTATCTGTGAAATGAAGAGCACCAGTGTTAAATCGTGTATGGAAGTCTTAGTGCCCGATTTATGTCTGTCTTCTTTCCCCAGAGAGCCATAGTTTTAAAAAACTAGAGTTCCAGGCGCCTGAAGCTAAGAAGTTCTTTAGCACTGTCCGTAAGGAGATGGCTCTGCTCGCCACATCCCTCCCTGATGGTATCATGGTGAAAACGTTTGAAGACAGAATGGTAAGTCCTTGAGTTTCCAGTATTCCAGTACTCTTTCTTCTTGACCTGTTCCTGCTACCCATTGGTGACCTTTCCTCTCACTTCCTCTTTTTTTTTTCTTTTTTCTTAATAAAGTAAAATGGGTGAGGGTTAGAACCTCTATCGGAGTATTTTTACTGTCTTAATCTTCCTGTTCCTGAAGCAACCATGCTGTCATTATTTATCACACTATCAAAGGGAAACGAGTTGAAATCTCCCAAATGAACTTACAGACCGTAAAGTGAAAATTATTTACTCTTCCCCTATGTATTAAAAACTAAAACAAAAACATTTAGTCTGGAGTTTAAAAAAAAAAAAAAGTAACTGGTTTGCTTTAAAGCAGGTGTGGTAAGAAAAACATACTGTACTTGCTTTCCATTGGCTCCCCTATCTACTAGTTTGCCTGCTGTAGCCGGCCCCGCAAAATCGTTATTCCAACTGAACACTCAGAGCCCTCCCCTACCATGTGACACCATTTGGCCTGGCAATTCAGACTTCAAGCACTGCATTTTGGAAAGGTCATGCAGGCCTCCATACCTGGAAATACTAATGCCTAGTACACACGATGAGAATATCAGATGAATGATCGTACGTTTTTTTTGTTTTTTTTTTTTGGGGTCGGGGGTTGCATGCTAGTGTCAAATCGAAAATGAAGAGGTTACCATATTCTCTTAAGACAAATGCAAATTCAGAAGTGCTGTAATGTATTGTATTGTATTCTTTCATTTCTGAGCATGCGTGATCTTGGTCACTCAAGTGTTTCCGGGCAAATATTGTATTGACAAAATGAAAATCATTCACTCTGCTGCCGTACGTGAATTTTTCTTGCTTGTCCCTGTGGATATTGTCGCCTCAACTGTTGTGATCACCTCTCGAAAGCTTTGTACGAACTATCAGATTATCGTACAATCCTTCCAAAAGCGATTTTTTTTTTTTTTTTTTTTTTTTTTTTTTTTTTTTTTCCCCCCCCCATCTGATTTTCTCATTGTGTGTACTAGGCATAAGTTTAACTCACATCTCACATTGGTCAACAAATCGCTGGAGAAGGGAAGTATGGATTTACGTTTAATGTAGAGAATCTAAGCTGAGCAGCAAGTTTTCCTTTTAAATAGAACAAATTCATAAGGCAGTTGTTTCTGATGAAAAGAATATACAGTAGCCTTGTAACTCACCTGAATCCCAGAGTATCTCATAAATTTTGCAAATTTAACATCAAGTACATCTGAGGGAAAGTAACACTGACCCAAAACACTGCTCTGTTCACTACATCAATGCAAATATATATTTATAAAGGGACACTCCCAGATTTCAGCTAAACCACCAGATTATTTAATCATATATATTGTCTGCATGGTTTGGTGAATATATCATACTCTTGGTCAAGGTTTCTTTGTACATTTGTGTGTAGTTTTAAAGCTAACAGTGAAAAGCACCCTGTTCCTTTTTTTTTTTTTTTTCCTTTTAGGACCTCTTCTCAGCATTTATAAAAGGACCCACACGTACTCCGTATGAGGATGGTCTATTTCTGTTTGATATTCAGCTGCCCAATATCTACCCAGCTGTGCCTCCACTCTTCCGCTACCTTTCTCAGTGCAGTGGGAGACTCAACCCAAACCTATATGATAACGGGAAAGTGTGTGTCAGTCTACTGGGCACCTGGATTGGAAAGGTAATTATATCCACATTCACAAGTGTTCACTTACTACCATCTATCTGTGTGCTTACAGTGGTTGTGTAAACGCTCAAGGTTTTTTTACCTTCATGCATTCTATATAAAAAACCTTCTGAGTGAGTCCGCCCCGTAATACTTACCCCATCACGATCTAGCCATGTTTACAAGAGCAACTGCTTTCCCAGGACTCTCCTCCTCATTAACCGCAGCAGGAGCCAATGGGTCCCCCTGCTGTCTCAGCCAATCACAGCCAATGAGCTAATAAGGGAAGAGAGGGAGTGCTGTCGAGTTACGGCTCCCTGTGTAAATGGACATGCAGAGGAGCATCTTGGAAGCGAGCCTGCTTGGGTGCCCCCATAGCAATCTTCTTGCTTTAGGGGGCACTTGACAGGAGGGAGGGGCCAGGAGTGCTGGCAGAGGACCTGAGAAAAGGAGGGTCGGGCTGCTCTGTGCAAAACCACTGCAAAGAGCAGTAACAGTTGTTTCTTTATAAAAAAAAAAGTATGTCCTGTTTTGCTTTTGCTCACCAGTATCAAGATTTCCCAATCTTTAGGGGCTGCACCTCTACAAATGACAGTTTCAGTTATCCTAGTCTGTATGAAGATTTGAGTGCTGGTTTCGTTTTTTCATTAAGCCTATTGGTCACCTATTCTTTATTCTTGGCTTTAGGCCTCGTTCACACCATACAGAAAAACTGACGGAAACTGACATGCAGATTTCGCTTGCAGACACATCAGTTTTCATGCGTGGTGCAATTAATTTTATACAATTTGCAAATTTTTGCACAGAAAAAAATCTGCATGCGATAATAGTGTGGTGTGAACAGGGCACATCGAGAACAATTGATTACATTGTACACTTGCAGAAGGCATGGAGAGAAACCGACATCCCTTAGGCCTCGTTCACACCGTGGTGCAAAGATTTGAGTTTTTTTGCATGCATTATGCAAGGGCAAAAAAACAAATGCTCTCTATGTGCCCTGTTCACACCACAACACTGACACATGTACACACAGCAGATTTTTACTGAAGCGCACATGAAAACTGATGTAAATTTGTGTCCCTGCAAGTGCAATCTGTGTGGTTTTTCTATCAGTTTTTATGCACATATGGTATGAACAAGGCCTTACTGGGTCATTCTGATCCTACTTACTGTTTCACAAATTGCTAGTTCAAATGCCAAAAATCTTATACATGGCACTCCTTATGTGTGGGCTTTGTTTTGGAAAAATAAAGGGTTTGGAGTTTCTGCCAACAAGGTAGAGTAGGCAGTTCAGTTTTTCAGTCCTACACTACAGGTGTGAACGAGCTCATATGGCAGCTCTTTTCTGTATATTGGACTTTTATTATCACCTACACACTACTTGCGCCATAACCAGACACAATCAACACACGCACTGTGGCGCTAATTAGCGCATTCATATATCATTGTTTGGTGGGACTATAAACAGCCTGGCAGCCTAATAGGCTAGTTTTACTATTTGGTGTTTGCACATGAACGTTTATACAAACTCATTCACTTTGTATATGTGTGTATATATATATATGTGTGTGTGTGTGTATGTATATATATATATATCATGTCTGTTTAGAGCGCTGCATTTCTTTTTGCTTAAACGTCATTTTACACCACTGCATCCAGTGCTTTGCATTGCACTTGGTTATGTAAGGCTTGGATGCAGCTGCTCGGCAATGGAAACCCATTCCATGAAGCTCTCTACACACTGTTGTTGTACTAATCTGAAGGACACATGAAGTTTGGAGGTCTTTTAGCTATTGACTCTGTAGACAGTTTGTAACTTCTGTGAGCTTTAGCATGCACTGACCCCGCTCTGTCATTTTACATGGCCTACCACTTCGTGGCTGAGTTGCTGTTGTTCCCAGTTGCATCCACTTTGTTATAATACCACTAACAGTTGACCGTGGAATATTTAGTAGCAAGGAAATTTTACAAATGGAATTATTTGCAATCTATCACAGTATCACGCTTGAATTCACTGAGATCCTGAGAGCGACCCATTCTTTCACAAATGTTTGTAAAAGCAGTCTGCATGCCTAGGTGCTTGATTTTATAGACCTGTGACCATGGAGGTGATTGGAACACCTGAGTGCAATAATTTGGTGCGGTGTCCCAATACTTTTGGCAATATAGTGTATATTGAACATTACATGCAGCCCTTTGGTGATGTCAGGGGCTGCATATGAGACCCCCTTTAGCTCATAACTTTTCAACCACTGGTTTCGGTTCTTGCACTGCAAAGCCCATCTACCTCCTTCTACTTAGTCCTACTGTTTATTCCAGAAATATGTACTGTCATTGCAAACATCTGAAGCAAGAAAGGAGAGAGATGAATGTACATCCCATAGTGTATCAAGCATAAGGAAATTTAATGGACAAAATAAAATCAATAGTTGCACTCACAAACAACTGCGGGGGGGTAGAGGTTTGTCAGGTGGCTTGTAGGATAGATCCAGAGTCCGTGTACGAGTTATCCCAGATCCCGCCTTGGCCACGGGCTTTCCTCAGCCAGGGACCAATGCAGGGATCTGGGATAACTCGTACACTGACTCTCTCCTTTCTTGTTTTACACAGGTTTGCAGCGTTAGCCCACACAGCTCAGCAGTAGCACCCTCTTAGTTGCAGCAGCTTTTGGACTGTTTTCTTATTTTTAATCTGGGCTATATGCTTTTAATTATTATATCTATATTGCTGTTTGTTTGTATATATATATTTTTTTTATCATTTACTAGATGTATATAGTACTCTTGGATTGATTTTATTCTCTGCCTCATTTCTAGGATTCCATTTTTTTTTTTTTTTTTTATCACTCTCAGCCTGGGTTCACACTGATGCGGTGCGGAATTTGCAGCGGTTTCTGTGCGAATTCCAAACCGCATCACAATCGCACCCCATTCATGCGAACTGCTGCGGGTGTGTATGTTAAGCTAACAACAACTCAAAACGGTTCACAAAATGCGGTGCAATGTGCAGAAACCGATCGCATGGGTGTGAATACCCATGCAATTCAATTCTAGTGCAGACCAAAAAAAGGTTCCTGCACCTTTTTGGTGCAGATGCAGTGCGATTTGAGCCATACAAAATGTATGGCTCAAATCGCACCGCACAGAATTCGCATGTGATTTGCACAGGAATGCGGTGCGGTTCCTGTACGAATCACATGCGATATGCCGCACCGCCTCCGTGTGAACCCAAGCTTTCACATCCTGATAATCTCTTAGCTAGTGGAGAGCCTTACTGGGCTCATCACCGCTATTTAAACGACAGGTGATATTTTTCCGGGCGGTGGGCGCAGTTTGTTGCACAGGTTTTCCTATAGTATCCACTTTGGATTTGGCTGAAGCAACTGTGTGAGCTAGCTTTCCTGGTGACAGAAACTATGAAGTCCAGAATATGAATGGGCCACAGAAATTTTCAACATGCTAGCTAGTATTTAAAGCATTAGATTTACACCCAGAAGTGAGTAATCAGCTTTGTATCAATTTACCTTTTAATTATCTACATCCTTTGGTAAAACTAAAAAACTGATCTGCATAATCCATTTTATCTTTAGGGAACTGAGAGATGGACAAGCAAATCCAGCCTTCTCCAGGTACTAATATCCATACAAGGTGAGTCTACTTGATATGTCCTCTTTATTGTTTGCAGGAAGAGTCAAACATTTTGCCACATTCTGTTTAAGGCTGAACTCTAGACAGGTATTAAACACAAAAGTTAATTCAGCTCTGTTAACATTAATACATCATTAAAGTGGAACTTTCGGTAAAAATTAAAAATGGGCAGACAGGCATGATTCTTTCTGTCAAAGAGTCATGCTTTGTATCTTCTGCATTAAAGCTTCCTACCTGCCTGCCAACCCTTTTCAGTGAGCCACGCAGGCACACCTCACTGTACTAATTCGGCAATGCCGAAAGTGATGGAACTCTTCGCATGCGCGAGAGTAACCTCATCCTTGCCTGGCTGGCATTTGAGACCCAGAAGCCGGCCATCCGAAGATGTTAACGGCCAGTTAGGGAGCTCCAGGACAACACATTGCTGGATCGGAGGTGATCATAGTTCCGCTTTAAAGCATATTCTGCAAAATGCAAGCTGTGGAAGTAGTTGAGTTTGACTTGGCCTCCTGTGGTCCCTTTACACCAGGGCAAGGGATGGTGGGGTGACAGCACAAGGCACCTTTCAGGTGTGTTTCAGTGCAAGGAGTATGCTGATAGGAGGAGAGAACAGAGCTGTATGGAGGTGAGGTTCTCTCTTTGCTGCTTCTCTTTTCACTGGCCAGTCACAGGGTTTGGGTGGAAAGGAGATCTAAAAGTGAATAGAAAAACTGCAGAAAAATATCAAGTCCCCTCTCCTGCCAGAAAGGACTGAGCAGTGTGAATCTCAAAACTTGATACACAGGAAATCAAATCCTTTGGCAGAGAAAAAAGCTCTCATATCTGTATTTCATTTATATTCAGCTGTTTGCCTAGAGATTCACTTTTTAACTTATACTGAGAAAACGCTTATGCTGCCACTGCAGGATTCTCATATTCAAATGCTAGTTACCTATCATTCTAATGATATTGGTTGCCATTCTGATCTACTGGGTTCAAAGTTTTCTGAGAGCATGTGTGCCAGTCAGGCTTTCTGACATTAATAGCTGCATGCTTACTCTGGTCCGTTAGAAGGCAATGAACAGAAGACAGCCAAGCAATTTTGCGTTTGTGGGAGTAGATCAACAATGGCAACCACCACCTGTTTCTCAAGTTTTTCTTTCATCTTGGCTTCTTGTTTGTTTTCTTTCCTCTCTAGGCCTTATACTGGTAAACGAGCCTTATTACAATGAGGCTGGCTTTGACAGTGACCGTGGTCTGCAAGAAGGTTATGAGAACAGTCGTTGCTACAACGAGATGGCTCTGATCAGAGTTGTACAATCTATGATACAGATGTTGAGGAGACCTGTGGAAGTCTTCCAACAGGAGATCATGGAGCACTTTCAAAGCAGCGGCTGGCGTTTAGTTCACAGGATAGAGACCTGGCTAGAAACCAATTCCATGGTAGAAAAGGGAGGTGAGTTGTCTAATGGCCAGGAGCACCCTTGCATTGTACCATACAGCCCCTCTGAGCAAGAAATCACACCAGAGCCTTCCTTAAGTTCTAAGGATTTGGACGATTCTGGTTGTGGAGCCTCCACCCTATCACCTGGAGAGGCTCCTCAGTGTTCTGACTTGGAGGGCATGGGTAAGGGGGCCTCAAGTAACACCTGTAGCCCTGCTGAGGAACTACGAGGGGCAACTGGAGGAGTGCAGCCAAGTGTGAAACCAAAGAAACGCAGGAAGAGCTATCGTAGTTTTCTGCCTGACAAACGAGGATACCCTGACATTGGCTTCCCATTGTTTCCCTTGTCTAAGGGCTTTGTGAAAAGCATACAAGGTGTTCTAGCGCAATATAAAGCTGCTCTCTTGGAAGCTGGCATCTTGGAGCCCCGTGGGGCCAGACTGACATTACCGTTGTAGAGACCAGATACATTGTGGGGCTGTCGTCGGCTCCCCCACACACATCGTACACATTCTGTTTTCCCCATCTTTCAATGCCTGTTAAGGCCAATAAAACAAAAGTCTGGAGTAACGTAAGACTTCTTAACCACAGTGTCTGCTGTGAGACCAAACAAGATTGTAACCGAATAAATAATGGTTGACATTATGCTGTATGCTCTGCTGTTCCCCTAATTTATTCTGTCCATATTATCTGCTCCTGGCATAATGTCTGGGGCTGCCTTGCTGCTACAGGGCAGAGAATTGTATCGTTTATTGCTCATGAAGAACTATCCCTTGCCTCTGCATAATGTCTTAGACCCAGATCATTCAATAGTTGCAGGAAGTTAGCAGTGTAGCCACTCTTGTATCTACATTGGGAGGTTAGGCCCTTTCATTTAAAATGACTGTGCTGGTTGTCAGGACAGATTTGGATGAATATAGCTCTTCTGTAGAAGTGTTATCTGGGCATGCAACTCTTCAATGAATGAGAATCCCTCATTTTTCTTTTTGCATCCCAAATAGATGATGTAATTTCATTATCACAAGTGTGTCTTGAAGAGTCTGTACTAGCGATTTTCAAGAATGAATGTCTAAGCTTACTGAAAATCACTTGGCCCATCTTTATGTCAATGGCAAGCATTGTACAGACATGGGCATTTTTCAGTGAATAAGCTTTGTTCTCCTGTACTGATAATTATAAACCCCATATAATGTCTCCAAGAACTAAACTGCTATTTAAGGTTTGATATACTAGCAGTAATATACCATAAAGCTAAATAAACAAACCTTTTTATCTTCTGCAAGATTGGGCAAGTTGCCTGTGTTAGTGAATGGTTAAATGCTTCTGTTTAAATACTTGGTTTGGCACATTAGCCTGTTCTGTATCCTCATGCCTTCCAATTTAATCAATGGGCACCGCTCTGTTTAATATTTTAGAAGACAAAGTCTATTAATATGTTATATTTGGACTTAGGCACTACATCATGGCTATCAATGACTTCGCTAAGAATAAGAAACTATTGCTACAGGAAGCAAACTGTAGCTACATTCATGAATATAACACTGCCATGAACAATGGAGACAGTGCAGGCCAGTGTGTCCTTAACTCTTGCCTGCCCTTTATCATGGTCTGCCTTACATTTAGGCATGTTTACATCCCCCTGTTTTTCCTTTCAAATGTGAATCTTTATTCTAGAGGGATGTGCTGCTGCCGCTTTCCTTTGTTCTTTATGATTCTTGAATTATCCGTGTGTCTCTAACACTTAAGGGTCTAGGTTACACAAAACAGGTGCAAAAAGGTGAGCATGAGTAATATATGAGCCTTTTAGACATAGGCTGTGTGATGTTATTTAATACATGTATAGAATGCGCTGTATTTTTATTTAAGCCACATTTTTAACCCCTCTCTCCCTGAGGCACCATTTAGCTACGTTTCATATTTGGGTAGATGCTAACAGGTTGCTATGCATATCACTTCCCTAAAGAGACTTGTGCTATTCCTCTTGATATTCCATCTAACACTGCTTGTGAATAGAGGCTGTTGTATACTCTTAAGACCCCATTCACACTTGTGTGACTTTTGACATCAATGTTGCATGAAAAGACATACCCCATGTTTTCCAATGATAACCATTCATATACGTTCGACTTAAAGTTGCAGAAACTTCAAAGTAGTTTGTGCACTACTTTGGTCTGACTTTCATGCAACTTGAGAGCCATAGATGTCAATGTTAACCCTCAAAAGTTGCATGAAAATCGTACCTGAATGTTTTACATCCAACAGTGGCTCTGATTTTGCAGAGGGACAAGTCAAGTCCATTCAAAGTTGCACTCCAAAGTTGTTCTACTTTGGAGTCGTACAAGTGTGAATGGAGCCCTATTGTTCCCTCACTCATATCACAGCTCTCTAGCAATCCCTGAATAACAGCTGTAAAATCCCCCTGTTGAAATCAACTTTACCTCCTTTTTCTTTAGCTTCCTTCATGTCTCCTTTCCCTATAGGCTGGATTTTTTTTTCCTATTGCTTGAGCTCAGCCAATAGAAAAAAAAAATACATGATGTCGTTGCCTCCAGGCGGAACAAACAGCATGGAAATCAGACTTTTTTTTTTTTTTTATTATTTTATATTTGAAACAGTTTCAACACAGTACAGATATTGGCACAGAAACACATTTTAATGTATCATGGCTGGGTGATGCATAGGAGGAAATCAGACTTTTGAACGTAAAGTTAATTTTTTACACTAAACATTGGCCAGCCTTGCAAGCTGCTAAATGAAAAAATGCCAGTTGTGTAAAAGTCCTCTTCCATAAACTATGAATGATTAGAATATTACAACTTTTACAGTAAATGAAAACTAAAACTAAAAAACTTTTCAGTGGTGAAGTAATCCAACCCCTATCAGCAGCTATGCACCTAGTGCAAATCTCATACAATTAAGCAGTAAAGTCAAACCTTAAAAAATATTGTGCAGTACTTTTAGGTGGAATACCAACACCTCCTAAATAATCAAATAACCATGCTTATACCACAAACAAAATGTGCAATACAAATAATATATATTCAACATTAAAGTCCTTAACAAAGCGAAGTCTTGTGCCTCCATAATAAGTGTCACCATCTGTGCTTGATCCAGCAATATTAATTGACCATACCACCACCCAATGTCTGCTTACCTTCTCTATATAGCCTCACATCAACTGTTCAGTCGTATAGCACATTTTGTATCTTTAATGGACACTGTAGATGTCTCTTGTGAATCCTAGATCAATATCCACAGTTCTCCAATCACCACCTCTGCAATCGCCACTCCGTCCCATGAAAATAAAAATTACATAATGCTCCTTAAAAGTTCCAGGGCAGGACCCTGGATGACGTCACGACGCTTGGAAGGATTAGAGAGTGTGTCAATTATTTAACACAGAGAGTAGTATTGCACAGGACTGCCGGTTCGTATCTACATGCTGTAAACATCTGATGTGATTGAGCACCTATTACAAGTGAGCGCAATTGTATCGGTTTTATAACAAAATGTAAACTTTTAAGGATAAAGCACTATGTAAAGTTTTTTCATGCGACGGAGTGATTGAAGAAGAGGTGAACGGAGAGCTGTGGTCATTGATCTGGGATTCACAAGAGACATCTACAGTGTCCATTAAAGGGTCAAAAGGTGCTATATGACCGAACAGTTGATGACATGGAGTGGTGGCGTGGTCACTGAATATTGCTGGATCAAGCGCAGATGGTGGCACTTACTATAAAGACGCAAGACTTCGCTTTGTTAAGAACTTTGTTAAATATATATAGTTTGTATTGCACATTTTGTTTGTGGTATACGCACTATTATTCAATTATTTAAGAGAGTTTTGTATTCCACTTAACAGTGTTGCACAATATTGTTTTAAGGTTACATTTTTTACACTAAGTTTTCAGTGTAATACAAGTAGAATAACAAGAGAATACCATAGCCTCTATATGCAGGTACTGTTAGATGGGATAAAAAGGAAAAATCGCATTGGCCCCTTTACATTTCTGGGGTACTCTGTTGGAGAGAGCTGCCTGCTTTAGTTCCTTCATCTGCATCACCCATTTTAACTGGATTATAATGGCCAAAATATAGGTGTGGATGTGGAAATTTAGGTACAGAAATCTTTCCTCTAGGGTCCGCAAGAGATTAAAGAAAGGATTCAGCGATCCAACTTGCTAGCCTCTGCTCAGAAGTGAAATATCTGTTTTGAGTGGACTGACCCTTTAATTGAGAACTCTGTCAAGAAGTACTAATAATTGAGTTTTGGGTGGAATGTGATTAAGGAACCTGTGTCTGTGGTGCTTTACTTACCGACAGAGTGTCACTGAAAAATTGGTCTCCTTGACACTCCCCATTTGGTCCTCTTGTTGCTCCCCACTGCTGCACATATCAGTGTGTTAAAAAGGTCCTTTTAAGACTAGACATTTAGGGGTTTATTTACCAAAGCTGGAGAGTCCAAAATCAGACTCCCTTCTGCATAGAAACCAATCAGCTTCCAGGTTTCATTGAACAAGCTGAGGTTAGAAGCTGATTGGTTTCTATGCAGAAGGGAGTCTGATTTTGGACTCTCCAGCTTTAGTAAATAAATCCCTTAATGTCAACTGGCAGTAGCAACATCCGTGGAGGAACACCAGTGCAGTAAACGCTATATGAGTGTTTCTTAATTGTGGTCTTTGGTGGCTTTTCTAAGTAGTAACTACTAAAAATATACCTTTGTGCTCACTAATGCTACTCTCTGTTACGTGCAAAATCTGTGCCCACAGTGCCACCCAGAGTGCTCCTGAAGTTCCGATAGCTCTGTGTAGTGGAGAAGTCGTACTCGCCTACCCCCATACAATGCCCACTGCCCAAGCAAACAATCAGCAGGTCTGACCAGATTTACATTGGGGGGTGATTCATCTGTTCTTGTGCAAATCGCAACTGTTAACAAGTCCCTATATGTGTAGCAGGTCTGAGAAGCCTCAGAATGTCACCGACAAAGAAAGTATTGACCCCTCCTTAATCTATTAGCTGTTGATCTGCATCATTACATTAGGGGGTTTAGCGAGTTCACAGTAAACCTGTCAACAATTTAAATTTTAAAAGTAAAAGTCCAGCCTATCTTCCCTAGTAAAGATAACAGAGGACATCGTATACTTGCTCCCAAAATGATAGACATGTTGACTTCAAAATAAAAATGCCAGTTATACCACCTGTAATTCTGTAAAGTAAAAAAAAAAAAACTGCTGTTTAGCCACCAAGAAGGACTAGTGTTAAGAAACACTACTTTACACTTCCCTAATCACTCTCCATACAATCCAGTTCTAGGTGGAGCTCTTCTATAATTTCACCTGACTTGAGAGATCCTTTGTGTCAACTTGTCTTCAGCACAAAATCCTTTCCTCTCTTCCTGCTGTGTGGGGTTATTGTGCACTTATCAGACAATACCGGATACGTTTTTCCTACTGGCATT